GAGACCTGCTATTTTGTCCTCCTTTTTGAGTTAGCTTTGAAAAAGTGGCTAGCAAACAGCTCCAAATTGGAACTCAAAGATGTTTTAGCTCCAAACTGGAATTCAAAGATGTTTTAGCTCCAAAGTGGAACTCAAAGATGTTTAGCTCCAAATTGGAACTCCAATTGCTCAAGACAGGATTTACAATGTCCTCTGAAGTTTCTGGTTGTGCTTTGTTTATTCACTATCCTGGATAGCCACCTAGTGGCAAAGCTAACTTTTACTAGCTTCCTGCCAAGTCAAACTCAACAGCTAACTCAAAAACTAAGGTCAAAATAGCATCTCATCAATTAAGTGCTCCAGTGTTTGCTTTTGATCTTACAAAATCTATAGTTTTCTCCTTCCTGCCTTAATGCCCTTGCCTCCATCTTGCAGAGCTATGGAAAAAAGCAATCAGAAGGCAATGAAATACAAAGGATTCTATTTTGGTTGATGCTGCCATTAGTTTTGCCTTTCCTCCAATTCACTCCCATATTTGAAGCATCTGCAAAAATGAATACGCAAAGAACAATTGGTTCGGGCAAGGATCTGACAGGTCCTATAATCTAGGCTTTCAAATACAGCTTGAGTCCTGCCTTATGAAACCTGATCAAGTTTTTGTGAAATTTGATTCAGCAGAATTCCTTACAGCCTGCAACTTTACTGAATGAACTCCTACTTCCAATCAAATCGCATTGTGACTGGCATTAAGGGATTAGTTTATCCCTCCAACCCCCCAACCCTCCCCCCCCCCCTCCAGCCAAACTTCAGCTGACTTGGTGTTGCTTAGTCAGACCAAATATGGCTCCTTGCTCAGAATCCTTGAGATGCTGGTTTTGCCGAAGCCTCTTTCTGTCCATGACATCTCTCTAGCTCTCTTTTTTTCTTCTGGGGAATCTGCAGGTCCATCTGGAACATGAGTGGCTATGATTTGCTTCAGGAAACACCAGGTACTGGGAAATAGGATTAATGTTGATCATTCAGTTTGTTTTGGGAAGGAAAATGCTGTTTTCAAACTTTCTCGAAGTTTCCAAGTAAATCAAGAAAATATGACTTCATTGAAGCTGAGTTGTGTATTAATAAAATCTTCCTAGGTCTGAACTATGAAAATAAAACCCTTTATCGGTTAATATCTACATTTTACTACTAAGCAACACTTACACATAGCTTCAAAAATGCACTGATATTCAAGGGAAAAGCAAGAAGTGCTTTCTAAGAGGGCATCTGGACAATTTCATCCAAAGAGTTGAGGGTTATCCCCCTCCTCTAAAGAAAGGATAGTGGGTTTGAAATACATTCATAGCTTTAATTTCTTTGAAGAGGAGTAAAGCATAGCACAACTTTTGTGAGGATAAGCATTATGGGTTTTTTCAACTTGATTAGCAGGAAGTTTTGCAGTGCTAGTTTATTGTCTGCTAATTTCTGAGCAAACATTCTCTGAGAAGCCAATATATCACAATAATCTCTTGCTTGACCTTCAGATTCTTCCAAACACTGAAGGTTCCTGGAAATGTGGAGAAGCAACTCTTCATTTTTAACTCTATCCTGCAGAACCTCTCTGCCCCATTCATTCCCAAAATAGTTCAGAGTCTTAAAAGTAATAATCTAAAGCAGTGTTTCTCAAGCTTGACCACTTTAAGATAGGTGGACTTCAACTCCCAGAATTTCCTAGCCAGCCATGCTAGCTGAGGTATTCTGGGAGTTGAAATCTACCCATCTTAAAGTGTGCAAGGTTGAGAAACACTGATTTAAGATATAAATTTAATAAAAAGTCTAAATGCTAAGTGCTTTTTTAAAGGAAAAAAAGCTGTTGACAAGAATCAGATTCTTATCTGATTACAATCATATGTCGTCTTAGAGTGCATTCCTATGGCAGCTGGTTTGGACCTGTGCACTGTAGAACAAATACATGTCAATATACAACAGATGTCTATAATTTTGGAATGTGGTATTAAAGTCTATTACTCTCTACCCTCCTCCACTGATATTTGATTCCATATCACTTACTGATTCTTGCTATTGAGATGTTTTGCTATATTGCACAATTTCAAATGGAAGAAATGCACCATAATGAATAGGGCATAGCTTTGTTCTGAGACTCCTTATGAAGAAAATGATACTGCACAATAATATATCCAGGAATCAATATCTTTTGATATGAAATGTGAAGATTGGATTCATTGTTATATATTTTTATTTTAAAAATTTTATTTATTTGATTTTTTTATCCCACCTTTTATACTCTATAAGTAAATCAAGACAACAAACACACATAATATACTCCTTCCTTTTCTTCTGTTTTCTCCACAACAACCCTGTGAGGTGGATTCGGTTCAGAAAGAATGACTGGCTCAAAGTTACCTCATAGGCTTTCATTTTAAGGCAGAACTAGAACTCACAGTCCCCTGGTTTCTAGGCTAGCATCTTAACCACTACACCAAATAAGTCCATTTTGACATTCTGAATAATCACAGGACATAGTACCAATAAAAGAGAATATTTGTAGCTCAGGGTTGAAATGAGGGATCTTTGGTGCTCTCGTGAGCTTGGTTGTTTTCTTATATTTCCTTACCCAAACTAGGTAACATCATCAGCAATGATGATGTCACCTAGTTGGGGTAATGAAATATCATATTACATTACCCTATGTAACATCATCAGTGTTGATATAACCTAATTTGTTTAATGAAATGTCTAAGAACATAATCAAGCTCAGAGAGCACCTAGGACCCTATAGAATATAGTTCTGCATGGACTATGATATTTCAAATAACATATGAGAGACTGCTTAATTCTGGAATGTGTTTCCCTGGAGTGTTAAAGTATGTGGAAGAACTGACATACAAAAGGATATCTAAATACGTCAGAGAAAAACATTCAAGACTTCTACCTGGTACTGTATGCTAATATCTGATATAGAAGAAGGCTTCTTTCCCACTTGGGAACTGAAGAGATATAAAACTCTGTCTGCTAGTTCAAGTGATAATAAACCCAGTTTAGTTATATTGCATGATTAATCTATATAAAAAATATTCTTGAGATTGAAAATCTCTAGTTCAATATTCCCCTGATTAATGTCCTTCTAATGTGTTGGACTAGAACTTCCATTGCTCACAACTGGTGGGTTATGAGGGATTATGAAAACTATTGTCTGATATATCTGGAAATATCAGATAGTCAACTATATTTTTTTTTCTTTTTCATTTTCTCATAATATTTTGGGATTTCAGGGTACAATCCCATCCAAATGGCGTATTCTTCATTCAGTTGTAGTTTAGATCTCACTTTGTGACTACTTAAATGTAAAACAAAAATGTAACAATGTAGCAGGAAAGGGTGGGCATTAAGAACCATATATCATCCATCGGATCTATTATATACAAATTCCACTGAGTGTATATAATGTTTGCACAAATTTATTTATTTATTTATTTATTTATTTATGAGACTTATATACCGCTTTAAGTGCAAGCACTCTCTAAGCGGTGTACACCAGTAAGCAATGTATATATATATTTACATTGCCCCCAACAATCTGGGTCCTCATTTTACCTACCCCTAAAGGATGGAAGGCTGAGTCAACCTTGAGCCGGTGAGATTTGAACTGCTGACCTGCTGAACACAGTCAGCTAAAGTGGCCTGCAATATTGCACTCTAACTGCTGCGCCACCTCAGCTCTTACTAATACAGGTAGTCCTTAATTTATGACCACAATTGGGGCCAGAAGCAAGGGGGTTGTTAAGTAAGTCATGCCTCATTTTATAACTTTTTTTGTCACGGGTTGTTAAGCAAATCACTGTAGCTGTTTAAGTGAATTACATATTTGTTAAATGAATCCAGCTTTCACCATTGACTTTGCTTGTTGGAAGTCAGATGGGAAGATCACAAATGGTGATCACATGACCCATGCAACATCGTAAATAAATGCCAGTTGCCAAGCCCTCAAATTTTGATCATGTAACCAGTGTAAGGACTGATTGTAAATCGCTTTTTTCACTGCTGTTGTAACTTCGACTGATTGCTAAATAAATGGTTGTAAATTGAGGACTACCTGTATTTGCTTGAAAAAGGCATCTTCTACTGTTAAGGTGACCAATCGTCCTCTTTAGGGAGGACAGTCCTTCTTTTGTAAGTTCTGTCCTTTCTCGAAAAGTGTCCTCCTACATGTCCTCCTTTTCGATATTTGAAGACTAATCTATAAATCTCCATATTCGATGGATGCCGATCTGATCTGTTGCGTGTGATGTGACGTATTTGTATTTGACATGACGATTCGTCAAGGCTCAGTACAGTGTGGTGAGATGCGATTATGAGACGCATGCGCTCCGCACAGGAGAATTGTTTTGAGAGAGTGCACCGCGCGCAAGAGTGCGCCGCACGCAGGTGGCTTTGTTTACTTCTTACCGAAACACGGCATGGCACATAGGCATGCATTAGACTCACTTTTTTTTCTTCAATTTATTTGTGTCCTCCTTCTCATTGTAAAAAAGTTGGTCACCTTACTACTGTATATGTTTCCACCTTCATGTTTAGTCCATGCACGATGTACAGTTGAGTGCAGTCCATGAAAAATATTATTTTCTGAAAATCTGTGGACCTGGCAAAAACAAAATCCTAGGTGGCACAATATCATAGTTAGTACATGAAACACTTTCAGGTATGAGTTACATAATTATTGCAATTCCAATGATTATGTGAAGAAATTCTTGCTCTGATCTAATATCTGCTGACCCTTAATGAAGATACCAAAGGTATTATTTTACTTTAGCAAGTGCAGTTAACTGAAATTTTCCCCTATGAAAATCTGTAGTATCTGTAATCATTTTGTTTTGTGCACACAGAAAAAAGAATTATCAGGGAAGATTTAAATGAATTGTTGGATCATTCTTTTTGCTTCCCTTTTTTCTAAAATGTTCATTAACAGTTCTCTTTAAATGCAGGTTCATGCCTTACCAGCTATTTCTCCACCTTAATTAACTTACCCAATATTATTCACCCTCAGCATATTTCCATGAAATCAGCTTTGGGGACACCAGTTCTGAAAGTTAATCATTGTATTGTTTATCAGTTGATGATTGATTTATAAAGGTTCGTGGCTTCAGCATGCCACCACCCATGGTACAGTTTGTTGAAATTCTCAGTTAACTTAAATGGTGCATTTTATGGCTATAGCATAATTTAATTATTTTATGGCAGAACAGGGTATTAGCTTAAGATGCTTGCTAGGAAAATCAAACAGCAGGAAAAAGCAATATTATTTTGTTTAGGTGGTATTTCATTAAAGTAGATCTAGATATTTTAAATGACCTGGGTTTATTGCAAGTTGTTTCGATAGCTGTTCCTTATCTGAGTGAAAGTGAAAAGATCTTAATCTAAGCAGTTGATTCTAAACCTTAAACTATATACTTAAAATAAATAAAATTTAAAAAGTAATAAAATATGGTTGTATTAGGGGGCAGTATATAAATCCATTATGTCTTCTTATTTATTTATATTATGGTTTAAGCACAGAAACACCAGCTTACTTTGGAAAAGGACCAGCAATTTGAGTAAATCCTAAACTGTACTTTCCTATAGCAGTAAGTAATGTGTCTGTCTCAGTTCCTGTTCAGATTTGAAAGGGAAATAAACTATTCTCCAAAATTAGACAATTTTGTGGCCATCTAAATATTGTTGATATAAACTTGCTATAGTCCCAGCTACCATGCTCAGCAGTTTAGAAATTTGGAAACTGCAGTTATAAACATCAAGAAAAATATAGGTTCTCTGTGTCTGACATTATACATAGCTTTGTTGTTACAGAACTATCTGTGTGATATTTTTCTCCTGAGGCTCCTTGATTTCCTTCAGTGCCCTTTCAATTTTCTAGCATAACCCAATCATATCTATTCATTTTGGAAAACCCCAAACTCCTTTTTCCTTCACCCCAATTCTTCCTTTTCGTTCATTTATCCGCACTTCATTTCGGGATTCTCTTTGGCATGGATAAAAAATAAAATCTGAATTTAAGCACTCAGTCCTTCTTATCTAATCTTATTGACCAAACCGCCTGTTATATATTTCAAAATTCATGTGGGGGGGGGCTTTTAGCTTGAACATTTGTTAAATTAATTATTAATTATTATTAAAAGATCAATAGTTTAAAAAAAATAAAGGCCTCCCTCTGGACAGTATTTTTTTTTATCCTAAAATTGTGTTCACTTTGAAATGTTTTTGTAGCTACTTAAAGAAAAAGTTCTAAAGTAAGCTGCAATATCAATTGCTCTCTTGCTCCTTTATGACCTTAGTTGTTCATGTGGTTGTACTTCCCCAAATGGAACTGCCACATAATGCAAGGCCCTCCTAGACTTTTACATCTTGCCAAATGAACTGGCAATTGTAGCCAAGGAAATTTTTCCATAAATACATCTCATGTGCCATTTATGTCCTTTCCTGGATCAGGTGTGACTTTTCATGGCCATATATACTTCAGATAGTTTTTGTTTGGATCACTATATCGTGAAGACTACTTGGAAAGTTCAGATGGTCCAGAATTCAGTGGTCCAAGTAATTATGAGTACATCTCAATTTGTCCAGAAGCTGAACTGATTTTCAGGAACAATTCAAGAAATTGTTGGTTATCATCTATAAAATTCATATTCAGACACTGGATAGCTACATGATTCCTTTTCTACAACTGATTTTTTTTTGTCCTAGAAAATCTGGCAGAGTTGGCCAGCCACAAGTCCAGTGACAAAATAATACCACCACGTGGGACTATGGAAGCATAGGTGTTCTTTTGCTATCTCATCCTTTGGAATGGCGTTCATTTTCCATTCCATCTCTGAATATCCCTGACACAATCCATGCTGTCTTTTAGGAAGGCTTTAATTTGAGGAGTATAATTTGCAAAGCTGTCTCAGAGATGTATTTTGATTCTTTTTCATATCTCCCAGTGGAAATTAATGATCCAATAATTCTCTTGGGATTTTTGTGAGTATTACGGGTTTCTGTTTGGCTTGTGTTTTTAATATTTGTATTTATGTATCAAAAGCCAGTGCTTTCACCATAAAAGCTATCCAAGTGGTTTAATTAATAATGAAAACCAAACATTCCACCCCTTCAGAGATAGATTGCAAAAGAGGAAGATACAACACAAAAGGAAAGAAGCCTCTGGCAGCAGGTTCATGATTCCCATTATAATCATGTGAGAAAAATCCATGCATTAATGGCTTTCTTGTTCTTCCTTACAGAGCAGTTGGTCACTATAATTTCTTCAGGGAAGGAGAAGAGTCCTTGGTCCATTTCATTTTCTCCCAATATCACATATCTTGGAATAAACAGGAACCTTCTTGAAATAACTGGTCTAGACACCCAAGGCTAGATCAATAGATAATACTCAGGAAATCAGTGTTGGAACAAACAACTACGTGAAACCCCAGTGATCAGTCATATGACAAAAAGGGGGTTGGGGGAAGAAAATTTGCTAAACCTATGAAATCTGTGCTCCCTTTTCCAAACTCCTATCTTCACTCAAAGCTATTTTACTGGGCCTTATATTCTTGTACCTGAATGAGCATACACATTTTTTTTTTAAAGTAATTTGGCTGAAGAATTTTTCTCATTTGTTTTTAAAGTACAGGCCTTAATGTTGTTTTTACATCTTTTTTAAAACTTTGAAAAAAATAATTTAGGACTTCATGTAAGTGGAAGGAAAGCACCTGCATACTACCCATTAATGTAGCCTGAAAAAAGATGCCTCAATTTTAATTAATCCACTCATTAAAGTTAATAGCAAAAATATGTTACCCTTATATGAAGTTGGAAGCATTTCTTACAAATCATTTTCAAAAAGTGACTAGTTCCATTCCTAATTTTTTTTGCAATAAAATCCAAATACTAAAATGAATATAAATAAGCAATGAAAACAAATCAATGAAATTTTGGTAAACAACGAATAACAAGAAATGTCTTCACTTCCCCCCTAGATTCTGTCTGTACCTCCCCAAGGTTATATTTTTCATTTTGGGAAGCCCTTTATTAGACAATATAATATCTGGTTTTTGCAATTTGGTGGTTAAAAGAAGCTTCAAGAGAATTCTTTGATTGGCAATCACCACACCTCATTCAAGGACTTTTACAGTTGTATTTTGCGTACTTCAAAATATTTTGGAAGAAGATCTTCTGACCTCACCCAAGTACATAGTCTCTCTATTATTCATTAAAGCAGCCACATCTCTTTTTCCAGCTTCTAGAGAACCTTCAAAAAGATGTTACTGCTTTAATAATTGCATAGAAGCCATATATAAGGCATGGCTGCTTTAATTAGTGCCAGAGTGAAATCCATGTGAAATCCAGCACATTTCTTTTTAACATTTTTTAAAAGAATACACAGATGTATTTTATAGCAATCCAGGTATTGTTCACCCATGTTTCCTGCATATCTTTCATTTCTAAGGAAAATTCATTACAAAGGGTAAGACTGAATCACCGCAAAACACTTTTGGATTGATAGTGCCAGCAACTTTTCATCTGAAACTGATGAAGAGAGCCTAAGAGACTGACTTAAGAATTAAGAAGTCCTTGATTCAAATTGATTTTGACTTGATTTCTATAGCCATCCAACTCACAAAAGCAATTCTAGATGGCTTACAATTCAATGGAAGCATTAAAAAGAAAAAAAGAAAGAAAGGCATGAAAGCAAAACACAACAAAAGAAGAAAATAATGCAATAATAAAATAAAAAGAATAACAAAAAAACCAAAATAAGAAGATAATAGAATTAAAGACCATCATTTGTATAGAACATTCAGAAATCATTCTAGTTAAATTTATCTATCATATATTTGCCAGTTCAGAGACACACCTCTTTTCCTGCATCAAAGACTGCCTTTGGCTTCTTAGTGATGTGCCAATAATTGTGCTTCCAAAAACTATGGGCAAATTCAAGGAAAAAGAAAAGTTCTTTTATTTCATTTTCATTTAATTAAAGCCTTGAAATAGATAGATAAAAATAGATAAAAGTCAGTTATGAATTGAAAAGTTTTCCCATGTGATGCATAGAAAAATAATTGCCAATGTTTCAAGGTTGCTGGAGACTTCAGAAGTGCTAATTCAAGATGGTTTTCAATCCTTAGCAATTTGTTACTTTCAGATATAATAGACTGCCTCTTTTCAAATCAACAGCATCTTGCTGCCTGGAAATGATAGAAGTTGCAATTCGACACATCTGGAGAATAATAGTTTGGAGAAAAACCAACAAATTACATATTATTCCCCCTTTCTGGAGAAGTGAGAAATTCAGAGCAAGTGCTAAAACATTTATTTTCTTTTGAATGAAAGGAAATATTGGAGACCTGATATATCTTCGTAATAAGCAAAGTTTTTCTTTAAAGTCTGCAAGCAGAACTTTCTGATAACAAAATGGTAAATAGCAAATAGCATAAAGGATTAATTTTGAATCAGAGAGCAATGGCTACTCATTTGTCAAACTAGTTCATCCTAGTTCGCTCCTGGTAAAAATGTTATGCTCTCTACCCTAAATCAGTTTTAATCTTTAGCTGTTTCTCAAAGTATCCAGAAAAAGCTTTGACTATCAGGAATTGTCTTTCCTAAACTGACCCAATTTTATAATTGACTTCCACTTGCTTTGCAAAAAATCTTCAAGTTAAGCTTTCCATAGATCTAAGTAACTAAAATTTGTTAATATCTATGGAATGGATTTTTATTTTTATTGCTATGACTTTACTACACAGAAACATATTCATTTCAAACCCTGAAGGATGTCACATTTCCAAGGTTGGAATGAAATTTCAAGATAGTAAATAATAAATCATAATTTTGGCTGAAATGGTTTAACCATTGTATTTTAGTGCCTCCAGACAGTAATAAGCTAAGGTGAAGCAGTTTTGGCTCTTTTTTTTAGTCTGTATGGGTTTTCCTTGATAAATAAAGGCAAGATATGATAGAGAAAACATAGGAAAGTCACAAATGGCGAATGCTATGGCTTAGTCAGTTCTGTAAAGAAAGCAGGATATTTTTTTTTAAAAAAAAAAAAAAAACTCTAGAAGCCATGGCTCTCCTAAAGGACAGGAATCCTTATATATTAATCATTATGCAATTCCCCAGAGTAATCATAAATTGTGCTATTAGTAATTCATAGCATATGATGATCAAACTTGAGAATGGGAGGAGATGGTTGATAAAAGAAAAAGTTAACTAGTTTTATTTTTGTATCATTCTTTTACACACATCTTTCTATCTATTACAAATGGCTGTGTGAATTATTAAAACTTTTGATCTTCTGCTAATTTATATGCAAGTGAAGTATTGGCTGACTGAGAACATCCCACAAATTGTAACCACCTTTTAATGTTCCCTCAGCACAAAAATCCTGTTGTGATTTAAATTAAGGGAGCCTAATTTCCCTCCAACCTGGGTACTCTCCAGATGTATATATTTGGGGGATCAGAATTATCTTACTCCTCCTGGTACTCAATAGTAAGAGATGATCCAGACAATTGGAGGATAGGAAAGATAGGAAAAACTGCCATAAGGAGATGCTAGATGGCAAGTTGTACTATTATCAAAAAGGAATGTGAAGTCTGTGCAATCTTGGTAGCTTTGCAGCTTTGTCTTAAAGAGCTGCATAGTACAAATGACATTTGTGGAGCTAAGTGAAGCAGTTTTGATTTGTTGCAATTTAAAGAGAAAGGAAAGGTTTTGTTATTGGCTTCCTATTTACTTTGCAGTTTTATTAAAGCCATGAGAATCCCATGAGCTTTTTTCCCTATAGGTATCTTTCTTGAGTCCTTTTTCACTAAAGGCCATCTTCCTTAATTCTTTTGAGAGGCCTAAAAAGTCTATTAGGGAAACTTAAATTTAAAAAAAAACCCTGACTGTAGATGTTGCTTTGTGAGAAATTCCTAGCTTTTAGGTTTAGTAATTCTTTTTAAAAAAAAGTTAATCCCAAGTACATGAAACTTCCTGTGGAAATGTGGTTCTGGTGATGCTTTGCAGGATTTCCACACAATTGCTTAGCAATACTGTCCCTTGGAAGTCAACTGCAAATATTAAACAGCCTCGCAACAACCCTAGTTGTCATTCAAAGAGCCAAAAAGTAGCTATTTGCAAGCTCTGCATGCCTGGAACTCTAGATTCATGCATGCCTGTCTAACCCCTTTATGAGTAGCAGTGTGGATTGTCCCTCTGACATCTACTCGGGCTTCTCTCCCCCACCACCACCACGTTGGCTAGTAACCCATAAATGTTCTGGATCCTTCTGATTCAGCAGAATTCCACAGGGGTGCTTATTAACACATGGGGGAAGGAGGAGAATGGCTCTGTAATTGAATTTAGGCAAAAGGCAAATGGGATTTGATGGTGTGGAAAGACAATCCCTGTTTACTAAAGTCTGACAAAATACAGGCTGGGGAGGGAGGGAGTATTGTCTCCTTTTGGAAATAACCAAAAAGCAAATATATCCTCAGGTCATGGAAAAGGGGCAGGGACAAAATATTGACTTTACAGGGGGAGGGAAAAATTATCCTTTAAAATGCATACACTCAGTTTAAACGTAGATGGCTAGATTCAGTGCAAGATCTTAGAGAGCAAGCTGGTTGAAAAGTTTGCTTGACAGCTTTTGGTGTCATTTCTTGCTGTGGTGAGCAAGTCATGCAGTAAACTATTTTCTGTTAATTTTTTCATCTGAGATAACCTGGCCAAGAAATGATTAGCACAAAAGTAAGTTTGCCCTAATCTGGAGAGAATAGGAAGGGATGAAGAGTGAGAAAGCTGTACTGAAGTTATCTGTTAACTACATCAAATGCCTCCAATTGGAAGAGATCGTTCTTCCTATCTCTTTGACTTTCAGTACCCTGCCCCCTTCACATTGTCTTCTCTTTTTTAATCTTAAGGTATGGCCCAAAATGACTACTTCAAGCACAATAGATGTTTTCATCTTTTTCCTTTGAAATAAAGCTGTGAAAGCAGGCGTCGGGGATCTTCCTACCTGCTTTGTTACTGGCAATCAGAAGGAATCCTCTTCTCCGATGCTTGACTTTGAAGTCACACAAGTAGCCAGAATCCATTCTTTCAAAGTGCACTGCAGTTCAGGCCAAGGCAAGCTGATTTGCAATCTACCCAGCAGTTCCAAACACTGAATGTCAGAGCCTGAGGAAAAGCATAACTAGGTTGTCACTTGGAATGGAGTTTGGTCAGTGGTCGGAGATCTATATTCTCAGATAGGTAGGACTTTGTCCACAAACTGGAATTTGAAATTTCAACGGGGGGGAAAAAGCAGAAGGGATGGTTTGAGAGATGACTGTGCTGGCGTGGATTCCCCTAGGACTTTAGTTCTCAATCTTGTAACTCAGGACTGTGCTCCAACAGGCTTACCTATCGTGTGGCCTGGGGAATGGAACAGTAATAGCTGCTACAGTGTTCTGTCCACTGAGAATTATGACAGGACGTGCATTCACCTCTATGAAAAGAAGAAATCCAAATGATTTTAAAGCAAGGGAGGCCTCACGGTAAGCCATACTTTTAAGCATAGAAGGTGGCTGCCAGCAGCAGGGCTGATGTTGGAAAATAGTTGGATATACATTAATACCTGAACCTCTAAGTTATTTTGTTGCTTTCAGATGCAGTGGGAGATTCTCTGGACATGCCTTACAATTAAGACAGGTTGAGCCAGCTGCTTCAGTTAGCAAACCTTCATGGATTATTAAGTTAAGCAAACCTGCTTCATTATGCCTAAGCATACAGCTTTTGAAGACCAGTTTTTGCTTGCCCCGGCCCTGTATGTGCAACATGAAGGGTTCCTCAGAGTGATGCATGGTGAAACTGTAAGACCATCTATTGCCCTAGGCTGCTTCTACATCTACCTCTCTCTGTGTTGCTTTGAGGCTCCCCAGCAGGGAGTGTGTGGGGAATTGGAGAGATCATGGCAGGTCACTTTGGTGCCAGGGCTAGCAAAGAAAGTAGGAAAATCCCAAGGGCCAGGAGGTAGAATGGGGCAGGAGTTCCTATCAGAAGAAAGATATCTAGTTCTAGAGTAAACATGGAAAATCAGTCTTTGCAGCTTTTCTTCTGAAGTAGGAGGTGAGCCAATGGTTAATCATCCCAGCTTCCCAGAATCCATGCAAGTTCCACAGAATTGGGGAGAAAGGAACATGTATTATTCTCCTCTCCAGGCAGCCTTGGCATTTACAAGAGGCATTAATATTTTTTTTTTCTCTGAGCACTCCTGAAATGTGGAGTTTAGTCTTTTAAAGATGTTTTTATCTTGTATTCTGTATCAGAGGATGTAACAGGAATATTTTTTTTAAAAAAGTAGCAAATATAAAGATAGACAAGTTTCAAGCTCATTTATATATTTATTTATCAAATTTAGCAACTGCACAGCTCTCTCACAGAGGAACATTGGGCAATGTATAAATAAAATATCGAAACGTGAAAATTGTATATAAAATTTAAAAAGAATTAAATTCAACATTAAAAGTTAAATAATTAAAAAAAGACAAAGGGAGAGCCTAACCAGCCCCAGCAAAACAGCAGAGCCATGTTTTTAAACTTTTCCAAAAGGTGAGGAGAGTGGGGGCCTGCCCTATTTCTTGGGGAAAATGTTCCAAAGGGGGGGGCAATGGTAGGGTTATACTTTTATTAGAAACAGCTCTGTAATTAAATCAGCATTTGTCTTTTAGATATTTTTACATTATGCTTTGAAGACCATACACAGTTTTCCAATTTTACAGGCACACATTTCCTTCATTTAAAACAGAATAATCCATTGCAATAACTGAACACTGTTGTCTTCCATAACACTGAAGTAGGGAACTGGCTCTTGCCAAAAGTTTATCTGAAGACAACTAATCTTTAAGATTTTAATTTCAGCCACCAGCAGTACATCTGAGTCATCTTCACTAGAGGTGAAAGGCTTTATGATTCATTGTCAGTTTCCAAGCATTTAATCCTTCGGTTCCCCTTAAGAAACTCCCCCACCATATTAGCCTTGTACATACACCTTTTGATTGCTATTTCTAGTAACCTTAATCCTTTCAGACCTTGTATGAGAGGAAACTTTTTTTTTTTTTTTGGTCTTACCTAGTTAGGAGCTTGTTTGACTTAAGGCATGTTTTGCTAAACTGAGCAAAACTAGACACTATAGTAAATCCTGTGCATGTTTAACTTATGTCTGTACACATTTATCTAATCATAGGGATCATCCTATCCAAATTTGGATTGGCATGAAAGATCTCTCAATGGGGCTGTTGTTGAGACTCGACCTTTCTGACCCTCTTATATGAATTATTGGCTCAATAGCGTCTAGCTGAAGAGGAAATATTAGGATATGTTCTTTCAAGCAGTAACCATGACATGTTTAATAGCCACAGTCCAGAAACCTGTTCCATTTCCTCAGAGAAGCTCAAGTCTGAGATGAGGAAGCTAGTGGTCTTCCTCTCAATTCAACAGTGGACTCTCTGGAACAATTAGATTGACAGCCATTAATATGTCACCCAATATAAGTGTCTGAAGAACAACAGTATGTGAAAGCTATTGACTTCATGCACACATCCTGTTTATGGGCTTCTAGAGGAATATAGCTCCTGAGAGGAAAAGTGATATTGTTGATTGGGAATCTTATGGGTTCAGGCCAAAGATTTATAGCAAGAGTAGAGAACTTTTGTCTAGCCGGATATTGCTGAATTGTAACTTTTAGTTATCTCACCATTGGCCAGGCTGGCTTTATGGCTTGATGAGAATTAAAATTCAGCAACTAGAAATTTTTCATTATAGATCTAATCTGAGTTATGGTGTGCAATGCATGGTTTGTTGCATGCTCACTCAGATGTTCACATTGGATTTGGCATTTTTTTCTACCTATCAAGTCCTCTCCAAAGACCAGGGATAGGCAGATGTGGATGTTTGATAGTATTACAGTTATTGTTGCAGAATGTAAGCTGTTCTGAGTAAAGCTGCCTTTTGCAATTGACTAGTGTGCAATGCATTGCTACCATTATTTACATTTCTGTCATGCTGTTTTAGTAGGTGAACAAGGTGGCTTCCATGAGGATCTCTCTACACTTTATTCCCACAAGAACAACCCCATGAATTAGAATTGGGCTGAGAGAGAATGACTGGCCCAAAGTTACACAGTGAGTTCCATGATTAAGGTCGACTTGAAACTCATATTGTATGGTTCTAATCCAACATCTTAAACACTAGTCTAGCCCAGGGCTTGGTGGTGGAGAGTTCATTACATTTAAATTAAGAGAGTGTAATTTAGCCCAGTCACCAAGTGAGTTTTCATGGCTGAGAGAAGACTTGAACCTGGCTCCCTTGAGTAGTCATCTCTAACATCTTATCTATTGTGTCATAATATCTCTATGTTTGTATGTTGTGGGTGCAGAAAGAGTTCCTGAGGCTACAAGCTGGGATGCAGAAGACAGATGCATGTTGCTTATAAAAACAGAGGAAAATAAATCTGGTAGATTGTTATATAGGGATTATGAAATAAACTAACCACTGACTAAATGTATTGATATTAGGTTTATTTATGTTCTTTCCATTAGAAATTTTGTTACAGAGAATTCTTACCAGGGCATGCTTGCAAAGCATCTGGGAGACATTATGAAATAAGAGCAGATCCAAGAGAAAATCACCCGCATGTTCCAGTGTTGCAAAGAAAATGAAAAAGTACATATTTGCTTTATCTCAAATCCTAGGCAGAAAAATACTGGCAGCATTTGTGGAGGGGCAATAGGATCAGTCTAAGTCAATGTTTCTCAACCTTAGTAATTTTAAGATGTGTGGACTTCTGGGAGTTGAAGTCCATACATCTTAAACTTGCTGAGATTGAGGAACACTAGTCTAAGGAAAGTGGTGCTACAACACAACCTAGAATCTTTTTCTAAATATGTTGTGATATCACAGACATGCTCCAAAGAGGTGGAGTTTGTACCACAACAGTGTTTTCATACTTCTGATAGAAGCAGGGAAATAATAGGATCCTGTGGATGCTTCAACATTTGACCAGGTCTTAATATACACTAATGTGAAGAAAGTCAGCTCCAGAGCATGAGCAGGAGTGGTGTAGAGTAGGTGACCATAAGGACTTCTACCTGCTTTGGTGACCAGGAGGTGACTTTCACCCCATCTGTAAGTGCTGGGTGTTAGAAGTAGAGGTGGTTTTCTCAGTATTGTACTTGTATTTGTTAGACTTATATCCAGTGGTGGAATTCAGCCAGTTCGCACCAGTTTGGCAGAACCGGTAGCTAATTTTTTTGTTGCCCAGGCCCAGAATGGACTTCCGGAAGCGGCATCCACACAGAGAACCGGTTGTTCACATATTTGAATCCCACCACTGCTTATATCCCAGATTTTGATCAGGAGTTCAAGGTGACAGATATTGGTCTCACGTCTCCCATTTTTCCTCACAAAAACTGCATTAGAAAAGCATCGGTAACACAGATGTGAATTAATACGTTAGTGCAGTGCGAGATACTGTACCTTTCTCCAATGCCAGTTTTCAGCACTTTGAAAATGACTACGTATTTCTTTGCTTTCTTCTGCATTTGCAATTGCAGCTGACTCTTGATTTCATGGCCACTTCCCACACTTCTAAGTACTACTGTCTCTTCCTTCAATGTTCCTTCTTACCTTTATTATATTCTTCTTTAACGTTACATTAAAGCTGCTGCTGTCTTTCATTAGTCCTTTTTGCTTCTGAATTAGCCATTGAAGGGCCAGAAAGTACCCACTGGGATTTATATTAGACATTAAATCATGGGCTGTTCCTGAAGAACAGTTCAAACTGCCTGCAGAAATTTTAATTCACTATCTGCAGTTTAAATCATAGGGGTTGCAAAAGATAAGGTGTTTTCATTATGAAAAGAACAGGCCATAATCATTAATTATTATTGGTTCTTTGGTGCAATTCAGCTGATATTCAATATGATAACATTGATTTACTATTATTAATCTGGTTATACACAATAGAATTTATAGTATATCATAAAACCCCTCCTCAGCTACAGTAACCAATTCATTACATAAATGCAGGTCTAAGATCTGTAGCTGTAGAAATACTCAGAATTGTAACAAATGCAGAGTTTGAGTTCACACAGCAGAGCCCCGTGACTCTTTTCAAGACTGGAACACAGAGACTGTGAGTTCTAGTCTCCTTTAGGCCTGAAGTCAGCTGGGAAATATTGGGCCAGTCCCTTACTCTCAACTGTAGGAAGGAGGCAATGACAAACTACTTCTGAAAATCTTGCCAAAAAAGCCTTCAGGGACTCATCCATGCAGTTCCAAGAGTCAGGACTGACTCAAATGCAACAACAACAAAAACTGATTAGCAGAGAACTCATCATTTGTATCCCACTCCTCATTTAGGAAGCTTCCATGCACGGGCTTATGGTATTTTGTAAAAACGTAAGATAGAGAGAACAAACTTATTAAATATGCATTTCCTTACATCTGAGAAAATATATATTAATATGTTCATTACCAGATACTAAAATATTGGAGATTTGCTACATTCCAGGAAAGTTGTATGTAAGTAAAACATACTTTGGCAAATAATTACAGTTGTGGACATACTAAAATGCTATCAATAATTACAATAGTTAGTACTTTGTGAAAAAGTATGATTTTTATTTTTATGTGATTCAGAGGAATTCTTGGAATTAAAAAAAAATCAAAATGGGCATTACACAGCGAAGAGAAAAAGCCCAATTAGTAGCCAAAAGGTGAAAATTGACAAACATGTTTAAAAGAAAATAGGTTGTAAAGAACAAAGCAAAGCTTTTAACAGCCAGAAGGTCCAGTTAAATTAATTGGAAGAATCTTAACTGGATTGTCTAGATGTATTTCCTTGGACAATCAATTTCTTGGGCCATAAACTAGTCAAAGCCAGTTCTGAAAGGGTGCAGATATACTGTATATGAATAAAGTTAAACTGAGTGATTGAGTATTCTCTCCCTTTCAGGTTTTTATTACCTGCTGTCAGTTTTTTATTTAGGACTGTGGCCCTATAATTCTACTATTCAAGGGACATGGAATTAAGACATTTACAATATTGTCAGCTGGAGAATCTGCTACTATTCTGTAGAACTGATAGAGCATCGGCATATTGTTGCTATGTCCAACTCCTTAAGGAGATATAGAAGGGCAACATATGATGTTTCTCAAAGACCTATGGGAACAGGATGTGCCTGTATCAGGCTAAAATGACAATAAGTCCTATTTTGATCCAATTCATTTATTAATATATAATTTCATCTGCAATACAATAACTTGGGAACTTTACCAATTTTTCCATGCCTTGTTGTTGTTTTTTGGGCTGCTGCAGGCTTAAACAGGAAAGCATAACTCAACAGCAGTAGATAGAATAGAATAGAATAGAATAGAATAGAATAGAATAGAATAGAATAGAATAGAATAGAATAGAATAGAAGCTGGAAGGGACCTTGGAGGTCTTCTAGTCCAGCCCCCTGCTCGAGCAGGAGAACCTATACAATTTCAAACAAGTGACTGTCTAGCCTCTTTTTAAAAACCTCCAGTGATGAAGCACCCACAATGTCTGAAGGCAAGCTGTTCCAGTGGTTAATTCTCCTCACTGTTAGGAAGTTTCTCCTTAATTCCAGGTTGCTTCTCTCTTTGGTCAGTTTCCGACCATTGTTTCTTGTCTTGCCCTCTGGTACTTTGGAGAATAGTTTGACACCCTAAAGACAACTTAAGATTGCTTCTCTCTCATGGGCTCAGGGGAAAGTGAAAGCGATATCATAGGAGCATAGCAGAAAAAAATATGTTGCCAAGGCTTATTGTACCAAGCAAAAGTAGGGAAATACTCTGCATTGAGCAGTAGAAACATAATCAATATTCTTTTTTGTCTTGAGTGTAGATGATTTTGCCCACAAAAGCAAGTAGCAAGACTTGGTTATAACCTCAAAAAGCACTGGTGCCTGGTAGCATCATTCAACTTTTATCAGTCTAGATTATCATATTATGTTTGGTGAACTAAAAATTCAAGATAAGATCTCTTGCTGTCATTTTTACACTTTAAAAATAGTAGCAGGTTCAGGTAAGTAGTGCTAGAAGTAGGGCATTTTATTTTGTCACCCGCACCATATCAGTGATTCAAACTGTTTCCTGAAAAAGCTTCTACCAGTACCAGCCTAGGGGATACAAACAGTGGTGGGATTCAGCCAGTTTGCACCAGTTCGACAGAACCGGTAGCTAATTTTTTGTTGTCCAGGCCCAGAATGGACTTCCAGAAATGGCATCCACACAGAGACCCGGTTGTTCACATATTTGAATCCCACTACTGGGTACAAAACTTTTTCTCAGCAGAAGATTCTACTTTTTTCAGGGAATAAGTCAATTATTTCAAGTGGGACAATCCATATGACAAGTGGTGGATGGAGATTTTTTTTATTGAAATATGTGGATCTTTTAACTATGGGAAGTCTGTTTTAGGACTCACAGTACCTAATTTATGTTTGCCATCTGAAAATAGTGAAAAGATTAACATGGGGTGCAAAATGATTAGAAAGTCTCCTTGAAAACTTGAGGCTGTAGGATGCCAACCCTTATATATGTCCTAATCACAAAAAAAGGAGGGAAGGGCAGAGAAAGACCAGACAGTTTCCTATATTATACTACCCGGGTTCAGAGGAGTTGGTCAGCTTGTTCAGGAAAATGATTAAGGGGAAACAATGGATGCCACTGCTCCAAGCTAGTCTAGATCTCTTTCAACTGTTCTTACCTCCTAAACAAGAATCTTTGAATCTTCTGCATTAGATGTCACCTGGCTCAAATCCTGTGTACCTTTTGAGCTGAGAGGATCACCAGGAAGGTGGGGGTTGGGAATCCGTGGACACAGTCAGTGTTGCATTTTGCATTTATGTGTCTGGCACTGAAAGATGTATCGTAGGTAAATGCTGTGGAAGGAGTTGTTGATAATGAAGTCAGAGCTCGTAAAACATGATTTTATAGGGAAGTAAAATGAAAGTTCCACATTGTTCCTGTGTGTCTCAGTGTGTAAATTACCATTCTGATGACCTTCATCCAACAGAGAAATGACAGGGCGTGGGATTAGGGAAGAGAAGAGAGGAAGAGAAAGAGTAGTTGGAAGGATAGGACAGCAGTTCCAGATGGAAGATGGAAATTGTATTCTACCTTTCAGAAGTGATCCTTGCAGCTTCTGCTACCAATAAAGTAATCTTAATAATGACACCTTAGGTTCCACACTGCACTGGGGAAAGCTGAGTGTAGCTAGCAGGCCCTTTGCTATGCTTTTTCACCTGTCCTGGAGCAGAAATCAGCAACAAGCTGGTGACGAAGCCTGTCATAAACAATCGTCAACAGGGAATAGAGAGGGAGAGAAGCAAAGCAGAAAGAAATAAGAGGCTGAGCGCAGCAGTGTTCACTAGTGGGTGAGATGATTAACGATTAACCCCCCTTGCCTCCTGCCTCCACCCATTTGGGTAGTATAGGCCTTGAAGTGCAGCAGATTCTTTCAGAGAAATATCTGAAATAAAGGCCAACAGATAGGGGACGCCGGCAAAATCAGTTGGAGAGTTGAGAGGGCCAATAACCTCTGGCTGTGGAATCACTGCAATCTGGCCCGTGTTTGCAGATGATAATGCGCCTTTCCAAAGCCCTGATAGACATGGAGATGGCAGATTACAGTGCAGCTTTAGATCCTGCATATACGACATTGGAGTTTGAGAACATGCAAGTCTTGGCAATGGGCAGTGGTAAGTCCATTTCAGAATGTTGTTTTTCTCTATCAAAGTTGGGGTCGGGACAGGAAAGATTCAGAAGTCAATTTATTTTTTTACAGCAGCCAGATAATGTGGAGCAAACATGATTACAGTATGCTTAGTTCCATCCTCCACCTATGTAAAAGCCTGGCAGTGGAGGAGGTTTTGGTCCTCCAGGCACAAATATTTTCCCCAAAAGATTTTGTCTGGGACTCTACTTGGTTTAATCAGCTGACATTTCACAGGACAGTTGCGGTATAGGACTCAAAGCCCTATTATTGTTTTCTCTTGCAATATACACAAAATTGGCTGGGGAAAACATAGGAAGAAGCCCCAGAAAGAAGCAGGGTTGGGAAGTATACAAGAAAAATAAATGAAATGGGTTGGTTGTTCCCGTAGGAGTAGGTTTTAAAAGAAGGAATGCAACACCTAACTTTTTATTGTTCAAAAAGTAGTTGGAGTTCAAGAGCCTATCAGGAAATGAAATTATTTTTTTGGTAGAGTTATACCAATGAAAACTACCAATAATAATCTGCAGTTAGAGTGAGGCATGATACTATGCGTTCGTATTTGTGAATAAGACTCCATAAATATAATTGATTCTAAATTATGTTTAGAATTATAATTGATATAATTCTAAATGTGTACACAATCCCACACATGGAATTGTGGTGATATATGATTATGATTATTGCCTTTATTACTATTATCATTTCATGCAGTAATGTAGCTGAATAATTTAAAAAATATTTTCTATTGTCTTCGTATAACACTTTCACACTTCATGTAGAATTTTACAAGAAGTTATCATTACTACTTCTGTTATGATTAGTTACACGTTCAGTCTGTTTTCTCATATTATGCATTTTTTTGCTTAAAAGCTGTGGTCTTTCCCTTGATCCTTTTCTTTATTTTAAAGAAGCCTCAATGAGTCTGATAGCTTCAGTGGCATTCATTGAAATTCAGAACTTTCTACTATTTGGAAAACAGCATGCTATGAAATAAAAAAATGGGCTAGTTTATAATAACGTTTTTCCTGTTTTTAGAGAGATGTATTCTATGTTTTCTGGAAATCGTATCTGATTTCCTTACTGTCATACAACGTTTTAGGATATCTTAAATGGAAATACAGTAGTATGGCTGAACATAAATATGTAATTATGGAAGATGTTCTAGGGAGAACCATAAAGACATTCCCAGCTTCCTCTCAAAACTACAATTCCCAGTTTTCTTTAGAGAGTATCTATTGAAGGTTTAGTGATCATTGTCTCAATCTTTTATTTGGAATATTACTGCCAATTTTTCATTCTTACATTTTTGAAATATCTAAGTATTAACATTATAAGCTAATGTTTAAAAGCTAATAATTAAGATAGGTGACTAAAATGAAAGTTATGTTTCTGAAAGGTATGTACAACGTAGCTCTCCAAACTACTAAACATTAATAATGAATGAGTATTCAGCATGTTCAATTTTTTCTCCCTTTACTCATGGTGAGATTTTTACAATTTTTTGTACAGTAGCTTGAATACAGTATCTAGGGTCACCACATCATTTGCATTGACATTTGGGTGTGGCTGTTGCTGACACCTGCTGGAAAATGACTGAAGTGGGGAAGAGTCCTCTCTACATAAATATATCTTGCACCCTGTTCTTCATTTTGTAAAACTTTACCAAACTATTAAAGGCTATTAACTGCACAATCCTATCACATTCTGAATATGTGTAACTGCTAAAAAGATAAATGCAATTATGGATGCATATAATTATAAAGTATACATGCATCCATCCAATCAATCAGAATACAGCTGGAAGTTTTGGAGGTTTTCTGGTCCAACCCCTTGCTCAAGCAGGAGACCCTATATCATTCCAGACAAGTGACTGTCCAATCACTTCTTAAAAACCTCCAGTGATGATACACCTGCAACTTCTGAGGGAAAGCTGTTCCACTGGTTAATTGTCCTCACTGTTAGGAAGTTTCTCATTAGTTCCAGGTTGCTTCTCTCCTAGATTAGTTTCCATCCATTGTTTCTTGTCCTGCCTACAAGTGCTTTGGTAAATAAGTTGACCCCTTCCTTTTTGTGGCAGCCCCTCAAATACTGGAATACTGCTATCATGTTATCCCTAGTCCTTCTTTTCTCTAGACTAGCCAAACCCAAATCCTACAACCGTACTTCATATGTTTTAGTCTCCAGGCCTTTAATCATCTTTGTTTCCATTGAAACTAATCCACTGAAATGTAATTTTCAAGTCAAAGGAAACAATAATTCTTTTATTGTCTACATTGGTCAGACTCCCCTCTGTTCATTTGTGATTACTGTGTTTTAAGGAAGATTCATAGAAACTGCAAAAAGCAAAGTAAAAAGCAAATAGAGATGATCAAATAAAACAAATCTTATGAGAATAGGCTTAGGAAAATGGGTATCTTTAATCTTAAAATACAAAGGGGGAGGTGTTGGGATATAATGCAAGTAACTGTCAACTTACAACCACAATTGAGCCCAAAATTTCTGTTGCCAAGTGAGACATTTGTTAAGTGAGTTTTGTCTCATTTTACGACTTTTCTTGCCACAGTTGTTAAGTGGATCACTGCAGTTGATAAGTTAGTAACATGTTTGTTAAGTGAACCTGGCTTCCCCGTTGACTTTGCTTGTTAGAAGTTTGCAAAAGGTGATCACATGACCCTAGGACACTGCAGCCATTATAAATATGAGTCAGTTGCTAAGTGTCTGAATTTTGATCATGTGACCATGGGGCTGCTGCAACAGCCGTAAGTGTGAAAAACAGTCATAAGCCACTTTTTCAAGTGATGTAACTTCAAATGGTCACTAAATGACTTGTTGAAAGTCAAGGATTACTTGTAATCCTTTCCAAGTTCTTGAAGAAATATCATATCAACATTCCTGACTTTGTCATCTAGGAGTCTGAGACACAGAATAACAGTCTTAAATTACTGAACAGTGCATTCCAGTTGAATGTGGAGAAACTTCATCAGAGTAAAAGAGTTCCACTGTGCAGCCAATCACCAAAGCCACTCTGTAAGAATTTGCCAGTTGGCTAATGCATGCAGATAAATGCATAAATACGACAAACAACTTTCCCAAGAACTGATCACAAAGCACTGATCTCACCAGGGAGAGTCTGCAAAATAACAGTCTATTTGATTTATGATACAATGAACTCTTTATCTTGTTTTCTTTCCCTTTACACCTATCATTTAATTACTTGGTACAATTTGCTGTACAGCATAGCTGCTTGGTTATATAAGTGACCAAAGAAATGCCAAGCTATTATCAGATCTTTATCATCTTTTTTTTCCACTGTCTTCTTCATTTTGTAGTTTCACATTTTCTATCAGAATTTCCCTTTTCTCTTGGAGATGTTTGCTGGACAATTAGGATCAGTTGGTACAAAGAAGGAATAATTACTTAACTCTTTAAATTTTTTATTGCAAAATATTGTGAAAAAGTATGCAGTAATCAAATGTGCACACTCATCATTGCTAGCAGCATCACCCATTAACCTACTTTGCTTGCTATTCCAGAAGAGGAGAAGGTAATTTTATGGATAGGAATCCATACTACTAATAATAATAGAGTTGGAAGGGACCTTGGAGGTCTTCTAGTCCAACCTCCTGCCCAGGCAGGAAACCCTATACCATTTCAAACAAATGATTGTCCAGTCTCTTCTTAAAAACTTCCAGTGATGAAGCACCCACAACTTCTGGAGGCAGGTTGTTCCACTGATTAATTGTTCTAACTGTCAGGACATTTCTCCTTAGTTCCAGATTGCTTCTCTCTTTGATTAGTTTCCATCCATGGCTTCCATCCAATGTGCAAATGAGTAGAAAATACGTTTGCAGTGGAAAGAGAAGTTCTGAATTACAAACCTAACACATATAGAGAAATAGTCTTCTAGGAAAATAGTCTTTAAGGAAAATACAAATAGGTCACATAAGAAGATAATCCTTACTCCATTATATTTATTCACTAATGTCAATGCTTTTTAAACTTTTTCAGAACAACTTCTGAAAGTCTTGGATTAGCTAGCATCTTGACCAGCAGAAACCCAAACACAGTTGAGAAAATCATGGATGAGTTATTAAGATTGATATTGTTGATTATTTATGGCATCATTAATGTACATGAGGAAGGAGATTATTTGGATGTCTGGCAATCAGGCTTAGGATTCAGTAAAGAAATCAGTCATGCTTGTAAATGATCTTTTGAGATACTGGAATTGGAGGAGTACAATCCTCCTGGTTCTCCTTGATCTCTTGGAGGCTTTCAATATCATCGACTTAGCTTGTATCGTTACTTTTCATGGGAACAGGCTGAACCCTGGAAGAGGGAGTTCCTGGTTAGGGCTTATCTATGTTACTAATTTCTCTCTCACCCCCTCTCCTCCACCCATACTATCAAAACAGAGTACTGACTCACTTTGCAAGGCAGTTGGAACAATGTAAATGAAATGTACTTGGCAGAAGGTGCATGTCTCTTAATTTTGCTAACCACTTAGCTGCTTTCAGCACTGTTGATGATGCTATCCTACATTATTTGGTCAATATGGAATGGAGGTTTCTGATGGGTTTAACTCATAAAGTTATGGTAGAAGACTATTGCTTAACCCCTTGATGTATGCAGTTCCTCAATATTGTGTTCTTTAGTTTTGACATGGAACTACTGAGTGGATCATTTGAAGTTTCAGAGCTGATTCTATGTTAATAGTATCCAATTGTCTCTTGTTTTCAAATAATGGCAAGGGGAATTGAGGAAATGCTCAAACATTATCTGATCACAGTAAAGAACTGCTTGAGGGTGAACAACCTGAGGTTCTGTACAGACTGCATATTAGTCAACTGGCATCTCAGGATTTGGGACCATGCCTCTTCTGGGTAATAGCCTTTGTGTGAACAGACTAAGGTTTAAAACTTGGCACCAAGTTTGCTTTTGTAAAATACTGTGGTGGTAACAATAATCAGGAGTACTGCTGCTGCTGAAGCAATTGCATCTCTTTATGGAGAAAGAGAACAGTTCTAACTTCAGTGATTCAGAGCTTATTACGTGTTTATATTTCTGTTTGAAAATTACAGCTATCATCAAATGTTCAGTAGTATTGTTAGTCATGTATTTTACATACTGTTTAACACTGAAATAATTGAATTGGCTTCCATTTTATTTCTAAACCTAATGTTTAGAAGTGTTGATTATTTCCTAAAAGCCCCAAATGTCTTGGGAGAAAAGCACATGTGAGTGATCTCTTTTTTCCATATGAAACTGCCTATGATTTGCAGTTCAGTTGCTTATTCCACTTTCTAAAAAAGAGTGGATTTGTACAAAACTACAAGGTAAAATGCCTAGGCACTAAAGAGCCAAAATGCAAACTCAAATATCTTTATTACTACAGCAGAATTATAAATAAGCCAGGAAGAGGAAATAAATGTTTTCAACATATTTTATAACACAAATAAATATTTGTAAAAGTGGCATTCACTATAAATATGCCTGTGGATCAAATCAAAATCCCTGAACAAGGTGACTAAAAACATCTCATAAACATCTGAGACTCACTACATATGGAGATATAAATGAGTTGGATGAATACTCAAAGAATAACCACCCATAGAGTAACAATTGTAGAGAGATTAAGTAAATTCCATCATCTTTTATTGGTTAATGTTATTGGTTAATGTTACTCTACTTCATTGTATTAAAGCTCTCTTTCCTTTTTGTTTCTGTTTTTAATTGATATATTTATTTTTATCTTGTTGGGCATTCATTTTAATTGTACACTGCTTTCTGAGCACTGGGCAAAAGGATTATGCATAAATATAAGAGATTAGTTAACATTATTTATGATTGCATTGTTGACCTAGTTTGAATCTCAACATTGTCACTCTTTTGTTCCAGAATATTTTATCTGCACGTGGGCACAGATTTTTTTCTCCCCATTGGAAAGTGCCTCTCATGCCTCTGTTTCCTAGCTTGCATTTCATACACACAGCATACTGGAGAGGAGCCCCAAAATGGAGTTTTGATTACTTTCAAGATTGGCTGTATAGCACAGGATTTGCTTATCTGATGTCATGTTGAAAGGAAGGGCTTTGAAGCTTCTTTATTTTGATAATAGTTAACAAACTTCACAGGCTTACTGACTGGTGCCATGGTGAAAGGAAGGCTCCTTGTAATCACATTAAATTGGCAACTGCCCCTACAAATGATCCCATAGCCTGTCAGGAAGAATGCTTCTACAGACCACCAAATGCACAGGTGGACAAATTCCTACACCACATTTTGGGGCAAGAATTGTTAGAAATTTTTCTTCTCCTCATGCCTGCTCCACATCCTTTCTTGAAAAAGAAGGGGTGGCTATTACTTTATAGAGTTTAGAAGCTGGAGTTGTTCTTACATTTGAAGTGAAATAAGTGAAAGCTGATTGATTTGTGTTCTCTGTGTTCAGCATTTGACTACCTGGGGTTAAAATAATGATTGGCTGAAGATGCTGTTTGTCGACTGTAGACTTACAAAGTGTGTGGACTCAAGGGTATATGCTGTCCCTAGGCCACATTGACTGATGGGGCAACCTCTCATTGATGTGAAGGTTTGCATTTTTAGAATGATTCAGAAGGAGGATTGACGCCCTGTGCCTTAGTTTAAAGCAGGGATCCCTAACCCCCGATCCATGGACTGGCACCAGGCTGCAGCATGCCAGAAACATGCCACAAACAAGCAAAGCTCCATCTGGGAGATCCAGGCAACAAACCTCCCACCACAGCACCAGTCCCTGAGGCCTAAAAGGTTGGGGGTCACTGGTCTATAGCATATGTTTGCAAGCATATAGATAATATTAGTTTGAATAAATACAATATTTGATTTGCAGATGATGAATACAAAATGAGGAAAATGCAGGTTTGATTTAATATGCATTAGGACAATGTGTTGGAAAACTGAATGGATCAGACAGCTTCTTAAAGCTGCTGGTTTTATATGAACTCATATACCCCTAGTGATTTCTTGACTTAATGTGTGTTCATGATTGCTTCCTACATATCTTCTTACACAGACACTTCCCCATCTGATGTTACAAATCTTAATGCTTCTAACAACATTGGAGCCAGTGTGTTATGTGCCATTTGTGGAGATCGTGCTACAGGGAAGCATTATGGAGCATCCAGTTGTGATGGCTGCAAAGGGTTCTTCAGAAGAAGTGTCAGGAAGAACCATATGTATTCTTGCAGGTAAAGAAGGCAGAGTGAACAGAAAGTTTACTAAAATGATAAAATAAATTGTTAACATTTCAAGGGTAACAATTCTTTCCTGAATCAAGAACTATATCAAAGAGAAGGAAGGGAAAGAAGTAAATTCATTTAGCTTGGAGAATAGAAGAAAAAGGAATTGAGAGCATGATGTCATCCTTCAAGAACATTAAGTGTGATCCTATAAAAAAAAAGACCAAAAGATTGTTTTCAGTTGTTTTAAATTGATAAGTTTAGATCTACTGAGCTTCAGGAGAGTAGAAAAGGAAAGATTTTATAAATGTCATAAAAAGCAGTTTTGAGAACAAAACCAATTAGCAACTAAGAAGTCTCTTGCTAGACTTTTAATAGAAAAGGATGAAGATCCACCTATCATGGATAGATTTCCTGCATCAAGCTTGAGATTGAAACATAAGGCCTCAAGCATAACCTTGAGACTGAAATACAAGGCCCCAACTCTGATTCCAAATCTGATGAAATGAAAAGAATATCCCTGGGTTTCATCCTCTTTTTTAACACTCATTTATCCTTGGTCTGCATTTTCACTTAGCCTACAAGAGCATTTTTAACTTGGCTAAGAAACTGGGAAGAACTGTCTGGAAAAGGCAAGATATAGAACAGCTGTAAGAAAAACGAAGGATCTTTTCTGATATTTGGTATCCAATGTACAATATCAAAAGGCTGAAATTTGCACCATATCTCATAGTGTATTATTACAGCAAACTTAATTTACTCTGTGTTAAAATTATAGATTGATTTATTTTCAAATCATGTCTTTATCCTTCCCTTTGCAGGTTTAATAGACAGTGTGTTGTAGACAAGGACAAAAGGAATCAGTGTCGATATTGTAGGCTAAAAAAATGTTTCCGAGCAGGAATGAAGAAAGAAGGTAAGATCCTTTCAGGAATCAACAACTGAGTTTGTTTGTTCATTGTGTAACTATGCTATAAACAGTTTTGAAGACTGCTGTGTAGTTTATCAGATTCTATATAGAAGGTAGCCATTTCCCTCTTCCACATCTGACAGGAGCTTGGATGATATATCTGAGAATGAGTATGAAATAATAATTAAAGTGTTGGACTTGAGTTGGAAAGATTTAGGTTTAAGTCACTACTTGAACATAGGTTCACTGAATAACTTCCTCAAGCCAATCTATTTGCTGGGATTGTTGAGAAGGTAAAAAGAGGGAAGTCTCCTATAAGTACTGCCATGTGGTAAAAGGAAAGGCAAGGCATACTGTTTGCTAGACAGTATGGGGGAGTATCTTAGTGAATCTTAAATGATGTATCACAGGCAATATAGACAGATAATCTGTTTAATTGAGGTAGATGGATTTATAACTATGACCAGCAGAAACATAATCCAAGATATCAAAGCAATTATGACAATGGTTGTTCTTCATTTCATCTGAAAATTCAAATATCCCCTTTTTTCTGCCTCTGAAAATGTAGATAAGAGAGATTTTTTTTTTTCCAGTTTTGCTGTCAGAGATCATAATACCACTGGAAGGGACTATCTGGATAGAACACAATTAATAGCTGTTGTTTGCCATCTGAATTATTGTCTGGGAAAAATAGGAATAGGGAAAAAAATCATTCAGATTTCCAAAAAGTAAATGATCGTTATTATTGCATCACAAATCTACAAAGTGCTTTGATTCGTTGGAACACAACATCCAAAGCAGACGAGGACAGGTTTTTTTACAGTAAAGTTCACATGAACAGTAGTATCAAATTACAAATTGGCAGTTCTCATACACATATATGTGCACCTAGAAATACAAAGGTTGTCATTGTTGGAATGGCTATGATGGATCTTAAGAAGACATTGCTAGAATATCTCTCTTGGTAATCCTAAATTTGATTCTTTTCCTTTTAATTTGCAATTTGCCTGCATTAAGATTGTTAGAAAGTGGCACAGCTCTCTACCTCTTCCAGCCAAGGGTGCCGGCAGTAGCAATGGCAATGGCAATAGAACAGGAAAAGGGTAGGCTTGGAAATTTGGGGCACCTGTAATAAGCCACCATCAGCAACAACAAAATAATAAAACTTCAGAAGCTGCAAATAGGTTTACACTATTTATCCTGGTATAAATGCTTAATATGAATGATGATTTAGAACAGAAACAAGGAAGCATTTCATACATAGTTAACTTATGAAATTTGCTGCCAGTCCATGGATTTATGGCTGCTATTTTAGTTTGCTTTAAAGGCAAGCTCAGGCTCACTCTGTGTTCCCTCCAGGATTAAAGGCAGTCTGCCTCTGAATTGACAGTTATAAGGAGGAAAGCGGTGGAAGAGGGGCTCCCATTTTCTGACTTAGTACATCCTTAGGCCTATAGTTAGCTACTGTGAAACAGGATGCTGTTCTTCATATTCCTACATATGGATGTGCTAAACTACATCTGGTGAAGTGGATTCTTGTCCACAAAGCTTGTGTGCTAGTCCTTGTGTGATCCTTTAAAATGCCACAAAATAGATTATTTCCTGGGATGAGAGTTTAGTAGGCAACTGTGCTTTTTCAATTGTATCTCACTGTTCTTTAGGGCTGGTGGAAACCAGCCGTAATGAGGGAGCTGTCCACCTTATGCTACAATAAAACTTTCCACTTTTAAGTGGCAATAAGACTTTGGGTTGGCTTTCATGCATCCTGTCATGATAGCTAATGCTTAGATGTTACCAATACTTAACATTAGTAGCCAAAGAACAAGTGTTCCTAACAATGTGGCTCCATTTTGCTTGGATAGTGAAATCCTCATATCTGTCCAGAATGCCTGCTCAACTTGTATTTTCCTGTTAATATTCAATAGAAGTTACATTGGGTCCATGACCAGCTAAATACTGAGTAAACATTTAGGATACATCATGCTGTGACTGAGCTCCTGGGTTCCTGATAACACACACCATAACCTTGAGTCCTCCTATTAATAGCTGCTGACTGCAGAGTTTTCATTTCAGTATAGCCTCATTATAACTCTGTTATTGAGCTGATTGGAAAATAAATCTGAGAAGCACTGCTTGTAACAGTAACAATCAGATATCGCTTAAGAGAGATATTCTTGTGATTAGTCGAGAGAGAGTGAAAGTATCTGATTACTAGAGTTGATAACTTAGGTACTTCTTGGACTTGTTAAGGGTAATCTCTTCCTGGGCCTTAGCCAAGTAATCATAGCCGATCACAAGCCTGATCCGGAAATATTAGAATACATTTTCGCTGGGTATGAAAAGGAACACCTCAAATGTCAAACTATTGAAACACCTTTCCCACTATATTTTTAAATTTTTTTCTAATTAATTTATAATTTTGCTCTGACTGATGAAGTTGCTTGGATAAGCAACAAAATGTCTCAGTTTAACAAAGTTCAGCCTAGTTGCCATGATTCAACCTTTAGACACCTTTGGCATGAATGACTGCATCTTCATTGACATACTTCTCCACTATCATTGAAGCCTAACATGTTTAAATATCTATTAATGTTAACTAAACTGTAAAACAAAAAGACTCAGAGGAGCAATAATAGATTTTTTTAATATTTTATGTAGAATAGCATAAACATTGCTTGTTTTTAATTAAAATACAACGCTAACGGACAACAACAAAAACTCTTCCTAGCTTTTCAGTGCAATAGCAGCTTGGGAAACAGGTAGAAGATTAAATTCATCCCACACTGCTAAAGATTTAGCCTCAAAGTCATGACATTGGTGGCATCAAGGAAAACTGTATTAGTGAAGCTGAGAAGGATTTTTTTCTCCTTTGGGTGACAGGTCAAGAGATTAAAATGTAAAAAAAAAAACCCATCCCAGTTTATTACAATTGAATTTCCTTCTTGAAAGTGCACAATAGCATATAGAGAATATAATATATGTCTACTTAATTAGCTATTATCTTGTATCATTTAATTGCTCAGCTCAAATCTTTGTGGTAGTTCAGATCAACGTCATTATCATCAGCAACAGCAGCAATGTATGTTCATTGCTTTTTTATTGGGTGAAATCCAATTTTGAATAAAACTTCCATTAAGCCTGTTGTTTCCCTTCCATCCTCATTTCCCCTATACCTGCTCTGATAGGGCATCCATCCTTCCAGTCAAAACAATGGGGGGAAAAATAGCCTCTTTCCCTATTCTTATACATTTACTGTTTTTTTTCCCATTGGAGTGAACCTGCTTGGATTCAAAGTTTTATCTTTCAGATGTAGAATATACTATAAAAAGCAAGTGCAAAATGTCATTCATGTTCCTATTGATAATATAAATGGCTTAGGTAGCTTTAATGTTGGGTTTTTATTTCAGCTGTACAAAATGAGCGTGATCGAATCAGCACTCGGCGGTCTAGCTATGAAGACAGTAGCTTACCTTCCATTAATGTTTTATTGCAAGCAGAAGTCCTTTCACAACAGGTACTTGTTTCTGTTTTGGAAAGAATTAGTATAGGCGTAATTAGAAGGCTCCCATATTCCACTGTTATATCAGTGCACATCTTAATCTGGAAAGCACGTCTATAAATATTGAATGATGCTTCTCCAAGTACACGTATATAGAGGGATTTATTTTGGAATAAACGTACAGAAGTTTCAATAGAAGAGAATATATGTAGCTCAGGGTTTAATAGTGGAGTCTGTGGTGCTCTCTGAGCTTGGTTATTTGCTTGCAGATGTTTCACTATCCAACTATGTAACATCATCAGTGCTAGCAAGTGAGGAGTTTGTTCCTTGTTTATATACAGTAGCTTTCCCTGCAAGTGTTGGTGGGGGTATGATTTTAAAATTCTCAGTCCACTGTAAAAGCACCTTAATTTCTTCTTTAACTGTTCTAGTTTCAAAGTAATGCTTTTTCTCTTCTCCTACACAAATTTATTAAAAATGCAATCTATGATGCTTTATTGACAATACTGCAAAGATAAGGTCAGAGCAAGGAACTGCCTATTAGGTATTATATGTTTCTCTCCTCCTCTCCAGTCACTGGATAACTGGGTATTACCCTCTATGGCCATTTTGTCTTAAGCTGCAGGAGAGACCAGACAACTTCAATATATGGAGTTAGCTGACTGCATAATGTCTGATTAGGGAGAACAATTGGCAGATTTCTTTCCTGCCAGCATATTACTTCGGATGCAACAGCAAATTCAACGGGCAGCCTCCAATAATAGCTGTCCTTAACTTGTTCCAAATGGCTTTATTACTCAGACTCAGCAGTCAGGGCAGAGCAGTTTATGCCACAGAATCAAGTTTTGGAGGAATGCTTGTTAACATGGCCATGAGCAAAAGTCCTACCTCTATTGTTAATGAAGTCATAACACCATTGCAACCACATCTTACATAACAATTATAAATGTTATCAGGAATTCTCTGGGTACAAAATATTGTATCTTTGCCTAATGAAAAAAAATTGCACTAGGACTATAACCTTAAGAGAAAATGCTTAGCTTATACATAGTTGTAACCAAATAAGCTACAGCTATGAATGTAGTGCATTAAATGTTAAAAGAGGTCTTGATAATAAGAGTGCATACTGTAAAAAAAAATGCATTCTCACCAATCCAAATCAGTTACTCAGGCCTCATATTTATGATTGTTTAACTGTTTAGAGGGAAATAGATTTGTGCCACTTTCAAAATGATTTTGAGGGTTCACATTAAGTTTGGCTTTCTTTCATCTTTCTATTAATAATATGAGATGGAACTCTTCTCCTTGTTTTGCAGATATCATCACCAATGTCAGGTATTAGTGGAGATATCAGAGGGAAAAAGATTGCAAATATTGCAGATGTGTGTGAGTCCATGAAGCAGCAGTTATTAGTGCTTGTGGAATGGGCCAAATATATCCCAGCCTTCTGTGAGCTTCCCCTGGATGATCAAGTGAGCTACATTTTTGCACTCTTATTCTAATGAAACTGTTGCTTCCATGTTCCATTTTCAAAACTGTAATACTGTAATTCTTTTGAGCTACATATCTGATGATCAAGCTTTACAGTTTCTATTCACTATTGTTTGTTGATATACAGTACTGTAATGCTGAATTGGTTGACAGTAATAATGGTAATCCTTAGGAAGGGCTTGGTAGTTGAATAAAAATGCCAAATCCTGACAAAACATCTGGCTGACTGCGCAACTAACCACAATAATAATAATATCTGAAAACATCTGGAGCACCACTAGAACACCATTGGCATTGACAAAATCATCATCAGTCAATTGCAAAAGGCAACTTTACTAGAAATAACTTACATCCTGCAATGATATCTTTAAAACCGTCAAACATTTGGAACCTTCTTGTAATGCCAAAGGGATAGAAATAAATGTTGATTGAATCCTCATGTATGTTTTCTTCTTTTAAAATTATTAAAATTCCACCTTCAGTCGATCACAAAAATATTTTTAAAAATGCTGTCCTCCCAAACAAAATAAAAATAATAATAGAACAAGCATTTTACCAGTGTTTCTTGAGTAAACAGTGAGATTAATCTTCTAACTCTTCTGCTTTCTATATTGAACTGAAATTTTTGGGTGCAGTGCATTTTTCCTAGCTCCTCACTCCATGATTCTGTGCTTATGGTTGGGTGATTGTCACACATCTGAATTCCACAGTACTAGTAATATTCTAAAAATTCCTCCCATATAGACACACATTTGATCAATTCATGTATAATGGAACATTTGCACCCCAATTACTTTTTCCTTGTTACTGTTTTTGTTACAGAATCACTTACTCAGTCCATTATTTTTCTAAGATTCTTTTAGCATTAGGATAGTGTTATCAGACAAATGCACCATACTCCACTTTGTCTCACACTTAAAACTGATGCCTCTGGAAAATAGCACTCTCTTCAGCTCTTTCGTTACATGATATTTCTACATGTTTGTTCAGTGCTTACATGTTGGCCCATCCCCATAAAGACAATCTTTCCCAAATCCTCCAGTTAATGTTTAGAGACTGTTTGCTGAAAAGCTGAAGTCCCAGTTGGACATTAAAAAGCATCCATGTCATACTGCGTCTTGGTGTTAACCTTTGTTTCTAAAGACTTCTTTAAAAAAAAAGATGTGAAACGGGAGATTCAGAACATTCTTGAGGCTCATTGAAGGGTATAAAGTGACACAATGCAATCATTAACAACATAGCAAGCAGGATTTTTTTAAAAAAGAAAACACTGCCTGTCCCTCACTATAGAAAAAAAATTAAAGGCATTAAAAAAATTAATTGTACCGGGGCAAGAATGCTAATTCTATTCCTAATAGATCAGTATGTGAGTAAGTGTTCTATGTTGCACTGGTCAGGCCACACTTGAAATACTGATTCCAGTTTTGGTCACCACAGTGGAAGAATGCTGAAAAGCTAGAAAGAGTAGAAAGAGCAGTAAAGATGGTAAGGAGCTTGAAGGCTAAACCCTATGAAGGTTAAAAGAGTTGGGTATGTGTAGCCTAAACAAGGCTAAACATGATACCAATCATCCAATACTTGAAGAGTTGTCATGAGGAAGAGGCTGTAGATTTATTATTCACAGTACCTGAAGCAAGAACCAGTGGGTAGAAGCTTTACAAAAAGAGACCAAAAATCTAAATAAAGAGGAATTTCCTGATACTGTACTGTATTAAGCAGTGGACCCACCTGCCTCTTGAAGTTATGGAGCTCCATTACTGGAGCTTTTCAAGCAAAGAATGGACAGTTATTATGGGGACCAATGTGTTTTTACTTGTTTATTAACTCAGCGCAGTGCATCCTTAACTAGGAACAGTGCATCCACCTAATATCCTGACCAATAGAAGAGAATTAACTGTTCTGGAAAATATTGTTCACAGCAGTCTTAGATCTGTGGAAGTGACTCCTGTAATTCAGAACACCATTTAACTATTTAGTCTTAGATTCCAGTTATAATCCAAGATGGGTGATGGTGGTGTTGATGATTATGACAATGTTGACTCCTGGCAAATCTCAGCAGTTTTCTGGGCAAAATACTGTATTTTTCAATGTATAAGATTCTATTTTTTCCTGCAAACACCCTGTTCAAAAATCAGGTGCGTCTTATACAAGTGCAGCGTCTTATACACGGAAAAATAATGGTAACCTCCGCAGCCCAGGGCATGCCTGTGTGGGTTGCCATGCCGCCTGGTGCAGGTGTTTAGCCCCTTAGGCTTGCCACTAATGGGACGGGGGAGAGGGCAAGATCGTCGGCTGGTCAAACTTCTGGATTTGCCGGCTCAGCTGTTTGGCGCTCCGCTGAACAGCTGATCGGCGCAGAGAAACTCGCATGCCAGAGTGTCTTATACAAGTGTGCGTCTTATAGATGGAAAAATATGGTATTTTCAGAAGACAATTACCGTTGTCTCCTTTCCAGGGTTGAGAGAGGCTGACTGATCCAGTTATCCAACTGGCTTTTGCTTAAGATAGGACTAGAACCTAAGTCTCACTGTTTCTAGCCTGATGCCACTATAGCAAAATGACAGTCATAGCTGAATAAATACAGTTTTTATTTATTCATTTACTTATTTACTTACTTACTTATCAAATTTATTGGTCACCCATCTTACCACAGGGTAGCTTTGCAATACTCTTTGGTAATTTACCTTTTGGTAATTTCCAATATAACTGAGACTGCCTTTAAAATTAATGAAGAAACTTCAGGTAATTCAACAGTGTAACAATCTTCACCTAGAGTTAGTGAGTTCTTTTCCATTCGAAATGTTTGAACAAAGGCTGGGATACAGTAGATACTTACAATGGACTGTAAGTTGACTTAATTTATTTCCAAGATTCTATATTTTAGGATCTCTGACTATATTGCATAGTTACTTTGCAATCTGCAGTGATTGTCGGTCTACTTCTACACAAGTTCTGATATTAATCCGCAAAGCCTAAACACCTGAAGGCTATAGTACTCAAAGAAGCACATCCACACATATTCTTTGGCCAGGACCTTACGTTCCCACCCGGTACTTCTATTCTATGAAGCAAAGCCAGTGACTATTAGAGAAAGGGTCTTTCTGGCTGTTGTACCCCAGCTCTGAAAAAGCATCCCCCCAGTTTTGTTTTAATGTTGGTTTTGACTCCAGACATTTTAAAGAGCCATTTTGGAGTTTTAGAACATTAATGCTTTGTTGCTATTTTATTGTTATTTGTATTCTTCCTTCTGATTTTTATCATATCAGTTTGAATTTTTTGCTGCCTTATATATTTTTATAGTCATTCTCTTCCCTCACTCCAGCCAAGCCTGGGAAGCATGCATGCTCTGAGTAAATAATAATAAAAAAATCCTATTCCTCCCCCAAATGCACCAGCTGAAATAAACACAGTTGCTTTGAGGGTTGTGAATACAAGGGCTCAGCTCATACTGTGTTCTCTCTAATAATATGGTTCTCAATGGGAAGATGCTTTTCTGTGCTCTTTCTTGGGGGGCACCCCTTAGCTTTCTGCCATACTCAGTATGTCTTCCTCTATCAGCCAGTAACAGTGGATCTTTGTTCCTTTGTTCCTGCAGGTGGCTTTGCTACGGGCCCACGCAGGGGAACATCTCTTATTGGGGGCAGCCAAACGCTCAATGGTGTTCAAAGACATCCTTCTGCTAGGTAAAGAGCTTCACCCATTAAAAGTTCAGTAGATTTTTCAATGTGGGGGTGGGGGGGGGTTAAAAAACAAAACAGGTGCTGGCATTTGTTGGACTTCTTGTAGTGCAATCTTGTATGTTTACTTGGCAATGTCCAACTTGCTAAAAGGGAATTATATCTAGTGAGCATGTATAGTAATGTTTCCAACCTCAGCAATTTCCAAGATTTGTGGACTTCAACTCCCAGAAGTCCTCAGCCAGCTGGGAGTTGACGTCCAATCTCTTGGCGTTGCTGAGATTGGCACACAGTGGTTTACGGGATTGTACCTTTCATCTTCTATTTGTTTTCACGTATCTATTTTAATGTGTTTAGAGACAGGCAATGATTTTAAAAGAGTAACATCTACATTGAGAGAGGTATTACTTTCTGTTCCTTTGTCCTGCTGTCATCTCTGACTTTACATTTTCTGAAGCAAGATAGCAGCTTGTTTATAGAAGTGATAGAAAGCTATATGTGTGTGGAATTGATTCCTGTTCTCCATCTTCTGCTGTTTAAAAACAAATACCCAGCCTCTTTTTCCACCTTGATGTCTACTTGTATGAATGGTCTTCTTCAATGGAACATGAGATCCAGATGTTGTTTTCTTTAACTTTTGATGCTTTTGAGTTTTCCTGGTATTTTTTCTAATGAGAAAGTGGATTGATTGAACAATTTCTTTAGCTTGCTAATATGCTATTAGGAGCTGTCTTATCTCGGAGGCCCAGCATTTAAAAATTGTTTTGTGGTGGAATTAAGAACTCGAGAAACAATTCCAATTTTCTTTGGGAAAATCACTTATTGGCCAGAAAAGTTGATGGGTAACAAATAATATAACACAAGCATTCTTAAGCTTTACAGGTAGTTCTCGACTTATGACCACAATTGAGCCCAAAATTTCCATTGCTCAGCAAGGCAATTATTAAGTGAGTTTTGCTCCATTTTACAATCTTTTTTTGCCACATTGGTAAGACAATCACTTATAACCATTCATTTAGTGATTGTTCAAAGTTACATCAGCAATGGAAAAAAGGTCACTTATGACCAGTGCTTTTTTTCTTTAAAAAAAAAGTTGTTAAATGAATCATACAGTTATTAAATGAATCTGACTTCCCCCATTGACTTTGCTGGATGGAAACCAGCTGGGAGGGCTACAAATGGTGATCACATAACCCCTGGACAGTACAACTGTCATAAGTACATGCCAGTTGCTAAGTACCCAAATTTTGACTATGTGATTGTAGGGATGCAGTGACGGTCATAAGCAGGGCTTTTTTTCTCATAGAATGCCCAGAACGGAGTTCCGGCATCTTTTTTGGATGGAACATTGTAAGGTAGGCAAGGTGGGTTGTATGACGTGTGTGAGGTCTGGCACCTTTTTTTTTTTTTTAAGAAAAAAAGCACTGGTCATAAGTGACTTTTTTTCCATTGCTGATGTAACTTTGAACAATCACTAAATGAATGATTATAAGTCAAGGACTACCTGTAGTTTACAATGATACCTGCATGTCAGCAGAACAGTTCTACAAGGACCTTGTAGAATATAAAAAAGTGATGTGCTACAATTATCTAATTAATTAATCATTGTGGTTTTGGTGAAGAGGAACTGATCCCCTATGACTGGTACTCTAATTTTAAATAGCTAGATAAGGAAAAGAAAATATTTCCACCAGCTTAAACATTGAACTGACAGTGATTTTTAGATGGCAAGAAAAAAAAAGATCAATGGTTGTTATATTGAAAGATAGCAAATTATAGAATAAATGTTCTGTATGGAAACAATGAAGCAATTTGATTGAATGAGAATTTAAATAACCCCATTTTCCTGCAGGAAATGACCACATAATCCCTCGAAACTGCCCAGAATTGCTGGAAATCAGCCGTGTAGCTGTGCGAATTCTTGATGAGCTGGTGTTAACATTTCAAGAGCTGCAGATTGATGATAATGAATATGCTTGTCTGAAAGCCATTATTTTCTTTGATCCAGGTAGATACTGTTTTTGAATAATTGGAAAAGGATTATAAGGATTCTTCCTTTAAAACTTAGTCCCATAGCATTGCTGAGGAATTTATTTCTTCAAACCAAGTCCTTAATACTATTTTGCTATTTCATTCAGCAATACTTGAACTCCAGAGTCAAAGTTCCCCAAAGGTTCTCAAAGTATGGTCCGAAGACTCTTTCAGAATGTCAAATAAAAGTTAATGGCTTTACTGTTGTGGTGAGTTGCCCAAAGTTGTTAAAGGTGGCCATACTGAATAAATGTTTTAAATAAATCAATAAATATTTTTAAAATTCAGTTTTAATTTCTAATACAGTAAATATTGATGAGAAAAATCTACATAAACCAAAGCTCTTTGGGGGGGGAAGTCCCTAATCATTTTAAGAATATAAGGGGTGCTGAGACCAAAATGTTTGAGAACTGCTATTCTAGATCAGTCTGTCATGATACTCTCCAGGTTTGTTGGACTTCAGTTCCTATGACCCTTTTTGGTCAAACTGGGTTTGAGAGCAAGGGAGCTGAAGCTCCTGTCAAAGGATGAAGGCCCTCAGGTCATGCAAGATTGTGTTACAATGAATATTATCAAGTAGCAATAGCAATATTAGACTTATATACCCTTCATAGTGCTTTTGCAGCATTCTCTAAGAGGTTTACAAAGTCAGCATATTGCTCCCAACAATCTGGGTCCTCATTTGACTGACCTTGGAAGGATGGAAGGCTGAATCAACTTTGAGCCAGTTAGGATTGAACTCCTGACTGTGGGCAGAGATAGCCTGCAATATTGCATTCTAACCACTGCACCACCCTGGGATAATTCAGGAAGTATTTCCCCAAATAGCAACTTGGAATATGAGCAACAAAAAGCTTACTATATGGTCATTGAACAAAGCATCTTAATTGTACTAGTATCAGTTATTGGCTTCACATGAGATGGCTTTTCTTTCAGTTGCTTCCTTTCAATTCAGCCAATAGTCCTGCTGCACTATGATGAGTAACAGTAATAGTAACATTGAGAAGAAAACAGTATAATTATAGGTAGTCCTCAATCAACTGCATTTGGAACCAGCAACTCTGTCACTAAGCAATGCAGTCATAAAGTGAAATGTCATATGACAGCGCCTGACATACAATGTTAGTTCATCAGTTCTGGCTGCATTCGTTAAGCGAATCACCACAAGTTGTTAACATAATATCACATGGCCATATCTTGTGAATTCCTGTCAGCTTCCCCACTGACTTTATTTGTTAGAAGCCAGTTATGAAAGTTGCAAATGGTGAACATGTGACCACAGGATGCTGTAACCATCATAAATGCATGCGAAGCACCCAAAATTGCAATGATGGGGATGTTTTGATGGCCACAATTTCAAAGATTAGCGACAAGTCTCCTTTTGTCACAGCTTGAATGGTCACTGAATCAGACTATTTGAAAGAACAATTAATAGGCATTTCATTGCTGACTCCCCTGTCTATGATCAAGAGCAAATAATAAGCCTCAGCAGCACTTTGTATTAATCACACTAAACACTTGCATACTATTTCATTTTAATTGTCACCAATTAGGTCTGGAAAAATGTGGGAGGAAATATAAAGAACACTGACCTGGCATTTTCATGCCAGAATGCCAGAGAAAGAAAAAAAATCACAATTCTAAAAAAAAAATCTACTGACGCAGTAATCCTGTTTCACAGCTTAATCCAAACCTAATCTATGTTGCATTGGTTTTATTCTGTCAGACCCCAAAAAATGAAATAGAAATGTCTACATGCAAAGGAAAAATGTTTCATGGCTGATGCAGGCTTTAGCCCTTCCCCAGGACAGTTATATGACCAGGTTGTTACAGAAGAGGCAAAAATTGTTTCTTCAGTGTTGTGTTTGGTGGTGCTGTTTCATAAGCTGGGGTTGCTTATGAAAGTTGTTTCATAAACTATAGTGACCCTGTATTAATTTCAACCAGACCTTATACCTGTGAAGTCAAACACTTTGGGGGTCTAGCTCCCTCACGCCTCACAATTGTCCATGCCCAACTGGAGCTGATGAACATTGGAGACAACGGCCATAACAAGGTCCAGAGTTCCCCAGCATTTGCCTTATGTAATCTGAAATCATGCAAAACATTTGCAGGGCAGAATATGGGAACAATGCACCCCCAGCCTTTTTAGTCTCTAGTTCAGTGGCAGAACGCATGTAGAAGTCCCAGACTCAAACTCTTTCAATTTCAAATGTTCTAGGGAAATTCCTGCCAGAATCTTTAGATTGCTGCTTCCAGTCAGGGTCAGCAATATTGGGCTAGATGGATTAGTAACCTAAACCATTTAAGTTACTAGCTAATAACTTTCCTTTAAAAAAACAACATTCTACAAGAAACAACCCTAGATTATTTGAAACAGGGCTACTCACTCTTTCCAATACCTCTGTCCTTCAAAATTGGCATAATATATAATATCTCACCTTTTATTCCAGATGCAAAAGGCCTAAGTGACCCTATCAAGATCAAACGAATGCGATATCAAGTCCAGGTCAGCCTGGAGGACTACATCAATGACCGGCAATATGACTCACGAGGACGCTTTGGGGAGCTGTTACTTCTCCTGCCCACCCTCCAGAGCATTACATGGCAGATGATTGAGCAAATCCAATTTGTTAAACTGTTTGGCATGGCCAAAATTGACAACCTGCTGCAAGAGATGCTGCTTGGAGGTGAATATTGTCGCAGAAACCTTCCTGAAATTGGGCATCAGGACTTTTGCCCCTAGAATGAAAGACAAGTGCAAAATAAACAGTACCATGAATCTCACTTCAGTTAGAGAAGAAAGAAAGATAAAATCAATGATACATCTTGCTTGAGAGTTTGATCTTCCATCTGAAGCAAAATTTCTGTTACACTTTTTTTTTAATTTAGTGGCCATACTTTGCAATTCATGTACAGTAGAGGGATCATTTTTTTAATAAGAAGAAATACTTTTTTCAGACTGTTTCCAAAATTTCGGTTGCCTACTTGAAAAAATGACACACTGAGAAATACTTACTCAACAGACTTCAAATTTTCTATCAGACGATGAACATTTTGGCTTGCTTAGTTTCATTAAAAACAAGAAATCTGTGTCTGTAGCTCAGCCAAGGATATGGTAAAGCCCAGACCAAACTTTGCTCAATTAGCACCTTCCAGATATATTGGAATTACAGACTATGTGGGAGTGTCAGATTCTTTATAGTAAAGGACATGGTAAAATGAGTGTCTTCAACCTCAAAAAGCAGCTGAAGAACAGCTAAGAAAGGATATGGCTTGAAGTAGAAAAAGTGGGGGGGGTCACAATAAGGGGGACTTGGACATTTCTTATTCCCTTCCAGATATTGAAAAGCTGTAGCCCAGCTTTCCCTCAAATTCTAATTGCCTAGGATACATTTTTTAAATTAGTTTTATTCATTTATAAAATGTGAAAATACAAAAGCAAATAGTAGGGGACAACAGTAGAGAAAAGGAAAACAAAAAAGGTGTGGAAAAAGGGAGGGGAAGAAACAAAAGGCATTGACTTCCGACTCTCTCTGTTGCAGTAAAATCAGACATTAAAATCAAATCTCAACTTTTTACATTTGTATAGTAGTATGCACTAGCCATTTCTCTACCGGCAAATCAGTCTAATTGGTCAAACCCAAAATCATGATGTCATTTTTTTCCACCTCAAGCACAAAGTCCAGAAGCGGTTTCCAAATAGAAATAAAACTATTTATGTTCTTTTCTTTTATCAGCACAGTCAATTTGGCCATCTCTGCTAATTCCATCAACTTTTGTAACCATTCATCCATGGTAGGAATTGAGGCATCCTTCCACTTTTGTGCATAGAGCAATCTTGCTGCTGTCACCATATATAAAATCAGAGTTCCAAAAAATTTTTCCAGTTCTCGTTCCATTAGGATACATTCTTAGATTACATGCTGTAAACATAAACTATTGATTTTTCCCCATGATATAATTGAGTAAAATGGGTAACAACAGTATTTGATTAGTTAGGATTAATTAATTTTAATTCTTCCAAAATGTCTGTAATTTGGGCTTCACCAGTTCGTGCTTCCACTATTAATCAACAGAATAATTTAAGTCTAGACTGGAAAGTCAGGAGGTAAAACCTTACCTATTGCCTGTCCAAATGGTTATTGACACCAAGATCATTTCAAAGATTAAAATGGAATATACTTTTTTACACTGAATATTGTCCAATCCTTAGATTCTTATTAACTGTTTTAGGGTCATCAAGTGATACACCTCATGCTCACCATCATCCTCTGCATCCCCACCTTATCCAGGAGAATTTGGGAACAAATGTCATTGTGGCCAACACAATGCCTCCTCAAATCCATAATGGACAGTTGTGTAAGTATTCACACTTAAAAGATCCCTCTGTCCAAGAGTGCTATATTTGTTCTTAGCTACAGTAAGCCAGCTTTTGGCAAAATGATGTCTCCTAATTATGTTTAATTTCTATAGACCAAAGTGAATAATAATTGTGGGAAATGAAATCTAATATTTCTGAAAGATATCGTCTGGAAGAAAAATACTCTATCTACAGCTCTTCATAAATACTAAAAACATAAAATGTATTATTTTATTATTTATTTGAGGTCTACATGCTGTTGCTGTTTCCATTAAAAAAGTGCCCACAGACTTTCTCCCATTCCTTATCAAAAAAAGAAGGCTATGATAGTCTTGCTCACTTTTTTCAGATTTTTTTTATCCCACCTTTATTATTTTTTATAAATAACTCAAGGTGGCAAACGTATCTACTACTCCTTTTTCCTCCTAGTTTTCCCACAACAACCCTGTGAAATTAGTTGGGCTGGGAAAGAGTAACTGCTCCCAAAACAAGCCAAATTTCATCCCTAAGGTAGGACTAGAACTCACAGTCTCCTAGTGTCTAGCCTGGTGACTTAACCGCTAGATCAAACTAGTTCTTTGACCAATTTGCTCTCTGTAATCAATATGCCTACCATTTATGCCTCTGTAGAAATTAAGGGAAGTTAAGAGGACTGAAGCATCCTTTAATGCTTTGCTGATCAAAGGACCCTGAGGGTACTTTAATTCTGCCCTCAGCTAAATCAGAGGCATGCGTAGTTCTTGCTTGCTAGAGATAAAAATTAAAACACCCAAACTAAGATGACCTGCTTTTATTCTTTGTCAAAAATATTAAATGTATAGAAATTTAAACAATGCTACCTCTGCAGTTTCCATCTACTGTAGACCTCATGGCTGAAATGCCAGCTTATTTTTGGATTTTCTCCTTCTTGCAATATCTCGTATGATGAATAATCCTGAAGAACTTGAAAGCTAGCACACTTTTTCCTGCAATTTTCATTGCAATAAAGATAGTGTCATATTATGTACAATAAGTTAGATTTTTTCCCCATGATTGGTACATTGCAGAATGTACTTCTGAATTAACATATATAAGAAATGTGTACAGGTAGTCCTTGACTGTCAACAGTTCATTTAGTAATTTAGTTACAATAACAGTGAAAAGTGACTTATGACTATTTTTCATACTTATGACCATTGCAGCATCCCCATGGTCAACTGATCAAAATTCAGATATTTGGCAACTGGCTCGTATTTATGACGGTTGCAATGTCCCAGAGTCATGTGATTCCTTTTTGCGACCTTCTGATAAGCAAAGTCAATGGGGAAGCCAGAGTCACTTAACAACCATGTTACTTCACTTAACAACTGCAGAGATTCAATTAACAATTGTGGCAAGAAAAGTCGTAAAATGGGGCAAAATTCACTTAACTATCTCACTTAGCAACAAAATATTCAGACTCGGTTGTGGTTGTAAGTCGAGGACTACCTATACATGAAAAATACTTGTGCCTTAATCAAGTCTGTTCAATGGTTTATTTTGTAACAAAGCTTTTCTTCCCATAGCCACTCCTGAAACTCCCCAACCTTCCCCCCCAGCTGGGTCTGGAGCTGAACAATACAAACTACTTCCGGGGGCCATCGCAACTGTAGCCAAGCAACCCAGTTCAATCCCTCAGCCCACCATCACAAAGCAAGAGGTCATCTAGCATCCAGCTGAATGAGGAATCAATGATTCATACACCACAATGTGAAGAAATAAACCTCCCTCGTTCTCATCTCAATCACTCTGGAGGTAGAATATTCATGGAGATTTCCCAGGGCAAAAATGTGCTATTTTTTTTTAATTCGGAAATTACATGGAAAAAAATAAGAAATGATCTTCACATGCAGCTGTGACTGAATGCTGTAGAACTTACAGACTAGCCTCAATGGATGCTTCACCTTTTGCAAAGAGAACCAGATGTCAAACTTTAGATCTGTTGGTGACTGTTCCAAAAATTGCACTGACTTACCTGTTTTGCCACTGCTTACTTCCCTCCCCTTTCTCTACAAATCTGCCCTTTTTTTTTTTTTTAAAGAAGGCAGCTGACAGGAATGATAGAAAGAAACTACACCCCATTATTGGATCATCTCCAAACAGTCCTTTCTGTGACATTATGGGTTACACATTTATAGGAAGAAGACAAAGATGCTGAGACTGAACTCGTTGAAGTTGAAGCATACATACCGTTTGTACTGCCTGCTCAAATGTCTTGGGAAACTCTACAAGTAAAGTATAGACTCATATGCTTCCACTAGCTCTAACAGTCTGAAGGATGAAAGTCTGCTCATTCCAAGCACAATTGTTGTATATGCTACTGATATTTTGTCCATCTGGTAGATTAATAGCTTCTATGGGGAAGCCTTCTCATGCTGAACAAAGGTATGGCCTTGCTGGATCTAGTTAGGATTCTTTCCATCTAACAATGCACTGTACCTCTTAGCTTCTTTGTTGATTTCAGGATTTATCACTCAAGACCACTGCCTCTGCTTATGGAGATTTTGTGACTAACAGACATTACAAATCATTCCTTCATGTCTTTGTCTAATGTTTTTTGAGAGCACAAGGTTTGTGCCATTTGCTCTGTGAAAAAACTGGATCCAAATGGAATTTATGATGGAAATCACTAGGGGGATTGGCAAGGATTGGTGAGAAACCTTCAGGGAACGTCCTATCAAATGAGCAAAGGGCATTTTGTTCCTTCCTATTTACAATGAGGGGAGAATAATGAACCTGCACCTGATCTCAACACTGCCAAACAAGGTGGACAGTAGATGGACCGACTGCACTTCTTCACCAGAATTTGCAGTTTACAAAAATGGATTGTTGGATTGTTTTGACATTCACTCAAAGCTTTCTTATAGCTGACAGTTTCCATAGGGGGCAGACAGAAATAGACCTGGAATGATTTCTTCTTTAGTTATCATCACAAACAGGATATGACATTTAGGAGTTAAAGAAGCTGAAAAAGAACTAAAGCCACTCAGATCTTAAGAGCCCCATGAATTGCTTCAGTTTATCTCAGGAGATCAATAATCAAATTATTCTTTAGCCATTTCAGTTTCTTAGAAAATTGTAGGTTTAATTCACATGACAATTCTAAAGAAGCCATAAGGTGATTCTACCACCCTCCTCAGTGTTTACCAGATAAAAGTGGACTGGGGATGAATTCATACTTGCAGAGTATCACTGTATATCTTAACTACTATTCTACCCCAAGATCCACCAATTGAAGCTTAATTCCAAACATATACACTTAGATTAAAAAATTCAGAGCCCTCAAGCTGTTTTCAGACTGCTTCAGTTTTTTGGGATTTTTTTTGCACAAAACTACTCCAATTCATTTTATCAACTTGATTTCCTCCAAATTTATTGAGATTGCCACTCCCAGAATTTCTAATCAGTTTTCTGGAAGTTGCCATCCAACATGTCTGGAGGGCATCAAGTTGGGGAAGGCACTCCAAAGTTTTATCATTTTAGTAATGTAACAGGAGGGGGTTGTGTGAAAGATGTTTTTTTTTTAGTGCCTTCAAGACAGTTTTATTCCTGGCAACTCCTTGGACAAATTCCTGCAGTTTTCTTTGCAAGATTTTTGGGAAGTGGTTTGCCATCACATCCTTCCTAGGGCTGAGAGAGAGTGATTGGCCCAAGGTCACTGAGGTGGGACTGTAAACACAATCTCCTGGTTTCTAGCCTGATGCCTTAATCACATCAAACTGGCTTTGGAAATTACTATTGTTCAATGTTTGAAATTACAAAATACTGCATATTCCCTTATGCAGAACAGTACACTGGGATTAAGCAGATCCTGACCACACCTCATTGGTGTCCTGTCATCCCAGGTTAGTTGAGAAGTCATTTCATGCTCTACTGATATGCAATACTGTGTTGCTTTGTAAGGCATCAAACTAATCGTGTATTGAATCAGCTTTCCCTTCCAACTAGTGTCAGCTACCTTGTGTTTGGGCAGTTTTTCCCAGCCCTGATGTCCTTAAATCATCTAGGCCCAAATCCTTCTGCACGTGCTCAGGTATATGGTGTTGCCAAAGGTAAACATCTTCTTGGAGCTGGTGATTTCATGAACATATCCATCTACAGTAGTTTTCTATTTTTTCTGCTCCCCCAATGTAGCCTACAGCTTTAATATTGCTTGATGTGCTCCATTCAAACATCAATCAAGCCCACTCTGCTTAGCTTTTCAAGATCAGCTGAGGTCAACTAAGGGCTCCTATGGATAGATCTCCTCCTTTAGTTCAACTGTATTATGGAAATTTGCTTACAATTTTGAAGAATTATATAACTCCTCAGAATTGTTGGGAAGACATTGGTAAAGGACATACAGTAGTAGTAACTATAGTTCTTGCTTTTAAAAAGTAGAAGGACAGTTTGGAGAAACACTTATTTATGAACACAAATACATTTTGTAGAGTCATCTCTTTGTCAGCATTAAAAGGACAGCCAAAGTAATCCCTGCTAAAAAGGGCTCAAGTCAGATTCTTACTGGAAATAAGCCAATTTACTGCTAATCTACCATCATTTATAGGCTGCTGCTTAAGTTCTTTTATGACAGATACAAAAACGAACCCCCTGCCAGCACATAGTCAGTGTCTAAGTATTGTAATGTTTGCCAAACACGAACCTGTTATGCTATGTAATTTATTATAATGATGGGCTGAATAATTTTTCTTTAAATTATTGTGTAAATAATATTGATTCCATGAAATCTTAACATTTTATATGAACAATGTAAATTACAAGACTGCTTCTCCAACTGCAACAATGTTTTATGTATCAAGGTTGGAGGAAGTTATTTTTGATGCAGATTTACTACATGCCATCTTCTAGGATAGTATATTAATTTTCATCGACTACTGCCTTCCAATGGAAACAGCTGGATTTCTTTATTCATGTTTTAAAAAAATAAATACAAAAATCTTTTCTAACCATTCACAAACAGATGTTGTTTCGAAGATGATAGCAAATCAATTAATGTCAAATACAGAGATTTTAGTTCCTTTATATTTCTTTACTGTTAGTCAGTGTAGCATAGTGGAATTATGCAGAAATGAGTTGGATTCATACATATTAAGACTGCTTAATTTAGCCATGGTGTTCCAAACAAACCACAGTTGGCTGGAGGCATCCATAGTCGAATCAAAAATATGGGATAACAAAGTGAGTTGCTCAGCATGTATAAAACGAAGCATAAACTTATAAAGATCATTTGTGTAATTTACATGTATACATACTCATATTATTCAAGGCTGTAACATTTGAAATATGTAAACTATACATTCAAAGGTTTAGGTTAAAAGTCTCAACTGGAATTCTAGTTGATTTCTTGTTTATTAAAAAAAAATGTCACCAACGCTCCAAATAATCAAGTAACAGATTTTACAAGCTCTTTAACAATGTTTTTAATACTAAAGCTGAAGATTCATCACACATTTGCTGTGTTGGAGCACTAGATCCAAATTCTTGTTGTAACAGACCTGTCTCATTTAAAAGACTTCTCCCTTCATACAATTGATTTTTTCATGGGCAGATTTATAGAGTCTCAGTAGTTAAAAATCATATGTGGAAGTCTGAGATCTGTCTAAGATTTTTAACAGCCTGCAAGTAGAAAGTGCACTCAGTCACTCATGCATTGATTACTGCAATGTGCTGTATATGGGGCTACCCTTGAAGAATATCCAGAAGCTACAATTGATTCAGAACACAATACAGACAGTTCTGAAGGCCCCTAGGGTAGCTCATGTAATACCACTGTTACCCAAGCTGCATTGGTTGCCGATCTGCTTTCGGGTCTAATTCAAGTGTTGTTTATTCCCCTTAATGCCCTTTATGGCATGAGTCCAGGATATCTGAGTAACTTTCTTGCTCTGATGGGAGCGGCCTGCCTCACTTCTTCTGCCAGAAGGGGCCTACTACAGACCCTATTGGCTAAGAAATTTCAGCTGGCAAGTCTAGGAGAAAAGCCTTCTCTGCTGTGGCTCCTGCCTGTGGATCATTTTGTTGCCAGAGGTGAGAGCCTCACCCACCTTTCTGATCTTCTAGAAGAGCCTTTAAGCCTGACTTTGCCAGTTAGCATGGGGCCTCAATGCTTTAGTTGGCTGGTGCAGGGACAAAGAAGCACTATCTCCGCTCCATTTGAGCCTCCAGCTTTTAGTCTATATTTGGTTTTTTAAATTTAAATTGTTCCTATGTTTATAATTGTTTTTATATTTCTATTTTATTACATTGTATGCTGCTCAGAGTCATTTGTATAGTGAGATTAGCAGCATATAAAATAAATACATAAATACATAAAATGTATGGAGCTAATTTCTTCAAACTGAGCTAGAACCACTAGATTACAAATGACCACGACTGAGCCCAAAATTTATGTTGCTAAGTGAGACAGTTGTTAAGTGAATTTTGCCCCATTCTATGACTTTTCTTGCCACAATTGTTAAGTGAATCACTGCACTTAAGATAGTAACATGTTGTTAAGTGGATTTGGCTTCTCCACTGACTTGTTAGGTTACAAAAGCTGATCATGTAACCCTGGGACACCGCAACTGCCATAAATATGACCCAGTTGCCAAGCATCTGAGTTTGGATCCCATGCTCACAGATTTTAAATGATTGTAAGTGCGAAAAATGGTCATAAATCACTTTTTTCAGTGCCTTTGTAACTTTGAATGGTCACTAAACAAATGCTTGTAAGTCAAGGACTACTTGTATTAGCATTTACATTCTGTTCAAATTCAGCAGAATAAGTAATTTCTAATTTACAGCTCACCCTAGCCTTAAAACTCAAATTGCTCTGGATCCGTACAGCCATCTAATATAGAGGCCTCCAGAAGTTTTGATGTATAGCTCCCACAGTTTCTTGCCATTGACTATACCAGTTGGAACCATTGGAATATGAAGCCCAAAACTTCATGTCTCTGTCCCTGAGAATAACATAATCTTTAAAACAATATTGTATTACAAATGACAAACTGAGAGTAGTTATAATTTTATCTACGATTACCTTCTGAAGTAAAAGTCTGAATTATAGATTCTTGAGTTCAATTACTAAGTCGCTTGACTGCTTGAGTGACAATCACACTCCATATTTTGAATTTTTTTTAATAAGTAATTCCATTCTCCTACTTAAAGTAGTGGTATTGGAAAATACTGGAAATCATTTTCTTGCCTCAGGGAATGGTTTATGTTGATTGATAGGGATCCACAGATTTGGATCTGACTGATTTCACCCAAATATCTCCTGTAGGTCATCTTCAATTTTCAGAAATAAAAATCGGATATAATAATTTTCATTTTCAAAAGCATTCATCCTCACGTAGCATCACAACCTAACCTTCAAAAATGCTGTCCAAAACTAAATAGGTTTTCTGTCCACCCTAATTCTCTGTAGGTTAAATGAGTGACGCCAAAAGCAGGACAGAGCCACTAAAGCACAAAAGAAAGATAAAGTGAAAGTTAATTTGTTACTGGTTGTAAAAGTGAAGAAATAGCTTGAAGATTAGGAAAGACTGTAAACAACTCCTCCTACTCCATTACTGCCTCTGGTCACGAGAACTTCGTGTGTTAACCAGCATCTGTCAGTCAGGGAAAAGGGACAAAGAAGGATACAGGTCTAAAAGGAAGAGAACAAAGAGCCTTTCCACATAATGCTTTGGTATCAATACTACAGTGATGCTGTACTTGTGGGTTCTCATGCTCCTATCCTTGCTGAACAGCTAAATTGATGTTTTTCTGGCTAAGTGGCTTAAGATTTTAGCTTGTCTCACATGCTGAAGCCTCAGTGCTGTGGGCAGCCAATGCTTTTATGCTTTGATTTACTCTGTGAAAACAGTTTTGCAATGCCAAGATGGGAGTAGCAATTTGTAGGAGGCTAATTTCAGCTTTTCCTGATTGGCCACCTGGAGGAAATGTTGGTGAGCTCTGATGAATGCTTCAAAGAGCTGCAGTAGAGACAATTATGGGCCATTGCAAGCAATATCTAAGGCAGGGGTCTTCAAACTTGACCCTTTTATGATTTGTGGACTTCAACTCCCAGAATTCCTCAGCCAGTGTGCCTGGCTGAGGAATTCTGGGAGTTGAAGTCCACAAGTCATAAAAGGACCAAGTTTGAAGACCCCTGATCTAAGGGATTGGGTAGTAGTATATGGATGGGCTGTGGCAAATTTTCAGGCATGGTTCTATTAATTGGTTGCCTAGTAATAATGGGCCCTGAAAGACCAAGCAGTAAAGTTATTGTAATTTTTCAGGAGAGAATGGAAAAATAAAATTTTCTAGAGGTGGAAGTTTTTCCCCCAACATCAAGATGTAGACTGTGTTTTCTACCAAAAAATCAGTAGAACTTTCCCTTTGTTTTCAGCATGGGGACCAAATGTATCAAAGGAATGGACAAATCAATTGTCAGTCTAATTACACAAGGCTGGTGTATGGCTGCAGCCTGTTGGGTAGGGGCAGAGAGATGGATGGAGGAAGAAAGAGTGCAAGTGATTGGCAAGAAGTAAAAAGAATTTCCCTGCTGCATTGTCTCCAGCCATTACTAGCCTGCCCTTTTGAATTACCCTCAAGAAAACGTGGACTTTGTCAGAAGAAAAATACGGTATATCATCCATAGTAGAAAGGAGTAAGATAAATTCAACATATGAACAATGAATCAGGGATGAAAAGTAAAAAGGGAAGAGAATGGGGTTAGCCTTGGTTTCAAACATGAAGCAGGATGGATGAATTAGATTGTGATTCTTTTAGTTAAGTCCCAATCTCCACAACTTAAAAACTATCTATGTGACTTTAAGGATAGAACCTAACCGTATCAACCAGCCCAATCTGGGATCTTCTGATATAACAAGTGATAATACACAATCTGTTGAGGGAGGGGCAAGGAGTGCTGTCATGACTTGTTGCAATCAGGTAGATATACTGTAAGAACGAGAGAGCCTTGGCATTCAGGTGAAGGGGCTGCCATAAAATGGGGCCTGGCTGGCTGTAAAACTGGGCTGTGGACTCTCTGAGGGATTCCTAAGGGAGGAAAATAGACAGTTGATGTTTTTTTACAGATAGTAGGACTTCTATGATGTAAGAGATGAAAGAGAGGGAACCCTACTTTTCTTTCTCTCTCTTTATTTTGCCCTGTAGAATTGGACACCTAGCTGGTCTAGGCTAAGATTTGCAGCAAAAGTATCAAAGCACAAAAATAGTCTTTAACTATTCTTTTTCATATGCTCTGCCTACTATTGACTTCTTAATGGTTTTCTTGTGCATGTGGCCAATTGCACTTGGCCAAGTCTCCTCTCCTCTCTTAATTTTTATCCCTTATGGATAGATGACCATCCATTACAAAAGATTCCCTCATTTTCAAAGTCTATTGCCTCCCTCTTCAGCTTCCAAACTGTTGAATTTGCGAACAACTTTCCCAGATTCTAACATCAGCTCTTCACTGCAGTTTGAAAATTACAGGGGATAAAGAGGGAAGTTATACTTCCTATTTTAAGCATATTATCCTGACTTGCTGTTACTAGTCCACCCCCAAAGTCACTTGCTTCATAAATTTATTTTTTAACAAGAACACAATGATACATTTAATGTGTCACTTTGGTTCCTTGTATAACAATAAATCCAGTGGCCTGGTTCCCGCTTTTAAGACAGGTGGTTATTAGAAGCAAATGCAATTTTGTCTTTCGATGAAGCTCCTTGTAATCAAATAATAACATGATTAGATGCTTACAATTGTGCAAAATCTCAACATAGCCCTTCTTCTGAAGGAATTTCCTTCTACCTACAGTAATAGGATTTTACTCTGTAGCCTGTTAAATATAAAAACAAAACAAACAACCAGATCTTAGTCTATTGGTGTTTTTTTTTCATTCAATCATGTCTGATTCTCAGAGACTGGACTGCAGTTTTCTTGCCAAGGTTTTTCAGAAGTGGTTTGCCATTGTATCCTTCCCA